TTTTTTTTTTTTTTTTTTTACATTTCTTTTTTTTTTTCAAGTCGATCTCAGACTAAGGATTGAAACTGAAAGCATGACAGAGACTTTTCGTCAGCTAGTAAGTGCAATATGATGCAGCTTCGCTACAGCTTGCATACTCAGCTACTACATAAGTACACCAGTTGCAGGGCTTCTCTTGTTTGCAGTACATTATGTAGTCCATACAATGTCAATACTGGCTGTATAAATATTATAAGACAGCAAAAGAGTCACCTTGCAACAGTCAGTCACTGACAGCTGAAGCCCTTACTAGTAATTTGACCTCTTCCCTCATGGCCTCAAAGAAAAGTGACCTACAGGCCAATTTGATTATATCAAGAATAAACACTTAAAGGCTGGAACAAGCATTAAACTGAGACCTTTCTGACATGGAAAGCCTCAACTGATTAGTAACTCAGTGTGTGTAGATGACAAACAGATGTTGACTTGGATATGGAGTGACTTTTGACACAGTCCCCATAGGCCCAATTTCATATGGTTGGATTATTAAGCTTTTTTACATGGGCAAAACTAGTTTTATTCAGCTACTAGTCACTATTTGAGAATTGCAATGGCAATTCAGCTTTGTTAGTTAGTTAGTTTGTTTGTTTCAAAAATGTTAGAAATTGGCCAAATAGGGTGGATATTTCAGCCACTTTGCAGCATACAATTTTAAATTTTTTGTATTTCCAGCTACTAGGTCTACTAGTAGACACAATCATGAAACAACAAGCATTAAGCACTAACCTGCTACGTTATAACTCTTAGTATATAAGTTATACTTCTACTTTTAGGTAAAAATCTAAAAAGTTTGAACATTATACTTACGATGCCCCCTCAACTGCCCTCACAACTTTCACAATTGCGTCTCTACCACGAGCCGCCGCCATGTTTGGAGCAAAAACCAACGATTTTGTACGAAAATTTAGCGGAAAATTGGACAATTTTGCAGAGAAAGTGGATACATATGTCAGTGTGTTTACAAGTACAGAGTCCAACTGCGTCAGCTGAAAGTTTGACACACCCCTCCCCCTTTTGGAAACCCACATTGCTGACTTAGGTATGATGTCAAGATAACAAATTTTAAAATCAAGTCAGAAATTTAAGATATCTTTATATAAAGTCAATTCATGGATACAAAAAGTAGTTTGTATGAAAAAAAGCGACAAAAATTTCATACTTAATGCATTATATTGTCGTAACATTATTAACAAGTATAGCAAAGAAATATACACCCCTACAAAATGTCATAATGGTATCGTCTATTAAGTAGCGTAAACTTTTCACCTATAGCATCGAAACAACAATTCACAAGTAAAAGTTACATAAACCAACATAATATTGCAAAACTCATATACTTTTTATTTTTAATATTATTTGTATAATGTTTGGTATAAAATTTGTTCTTGCATCATTTATATATTTAGAAACAAATTATTTTTGGCCTGTAATTTCTGTTTAGATGCGCTCTGTGATGACCTTAAGTAACCCGAGCTGGTAAATTAAATCGCAAACTTTAGTTGTTGGAAACAGACCGACTCTAAAACAGCTCCAGGCGTTTTGGCAATGCCTCAATCTCTACACAACTCGGCTCCCTTTGAACCGGAAAAACTTGTACACAGCCAGGAAGCCGAAGATTCGCCATTTTTGGGGCGCAATGCTGGAAAAAGCACCGGAAGACCGCAGCGAATTTCTTCGGGACAACAAGCGAGGTCTACCGCAAGATATTCGGAGAAGACTCCGTTATTGATCAACAACGGAGGACAGGACGTCGGGCTCCAAGAGTTCTCAGGCAACTCGAGAAAACCTGGTAGGAGAAAACCTAAAAAGTAAGACACGTTTTACCTTTTATACTGTGTAATGTCACTGTAAAGTTAAAGCTAATTTGGGCGTGACTTGAACTAAACTGACTCGAAAACAAAGTCAAGTTTAACTTTACAGTTTGTCTAGAAGTTCGCAGTTTGGTGAGGATTGTATTTTATGCAAACAAACAGACGAAGCAACCATCCTTGGTCTTTTTAAAACCCTGGTTTGTAAGAAATATTTAGGGAAAGTGACAGGAGAGAGTGTGTTATCTAGAGCATGACGTCATCCAATGACACACAGCACTATATAATCTTAAACAATGGAAAATAGGGGTTGACAGTTTTAACAGTTAACTGTTGGAAGTTGAGACCATGTTTTCATTGCATATGAATGTGACATCAAGAGGTAACTACTCAATGTAATTTATTTATTTTAATTGTTGTAATTCATTAGATAAAAAGAAATATGTCAATCTGTTGTTGAATGCACGGTAAAATTTTTACACCTCTGTCAAAAGGAATCGTCTTCACTCTTCGTCAGGGTATCTCATTTAGATTATTTACTTTTCACACAGTGTGAGATTTCATACACAAGCGTGAGAATTGTCAACAATCCTTAGACTGATTGTCAACATCACTGCCAGGGAAAAGGCCTGTAATAATGTCCAAATCCCTATTAACTTAGAGTAGCCTTAATATCTATTTGTCCAATTCCTACTCTTTCCAGACACTTCCCAAAGGCTCGTAGAGGCTTTAACTTTTACAAGTTACTGCACTGTACTTTATATTATTATAATGTTACTTGTATTTTACTTAAAACAAAGAAAGTTCTAGACTCTCTTGGTCAATACTTTATGACCTGTAGGGCATGTTAATTGTCTGTCCAAAGTGCCCAGGTCACCACAGTTATTGCATCACCCAGAGTTTGTTCAACTTTCACTCCAGTTGCAAAGTTCTGTACAGTTACAATTGCATAATCAATTTAAATTGATTTTTAGGAACCTTATGCTATTGTGAGTACAGTAATTTTGTAACATGAAACTTTGTAACCATTGGATGTTATCTTCAGCATTAGTTTATCCAGTTGCTAAATGATTTATTTTGTAGAAATACGTAGGCCTACTGACAGTTTTCTGTAGTAAAGTATACAGCTATTCAAGCTATACTCAGTCTAAGAGTCATCAGTACTAGTGATTCCACATATTTATTAGCTAGACCAGATATGCCTTCTCAAAGTTAGTAAAGTTGACCTGATCAATTATTAAGTCTCTGTCATATCATTTTTTCCAGAGTCCTGCGACAGCTCGCCATGAAGCGCCAGTCCCTTGACGCCACGCGACGGTACTTCCACGCCAGCGGAGAATACAGCGAAAGCGTCGTCGTACCAATCCCAACCTACGAGGAGAAAGACGGCACCAAACAATCGCGCCACCTCCCAAAATGGGCCTGGTTCCTTGTCGCTAAATCCTTAGGAATCAAACTGAAAGAAAAAGATCGCCCTTGGTTCGGTACTTTCCTGTACTTACTGACTCTAACCAGTGGGCTAGCGTTGGGAATTTGCACTGCCTGGAGAACTGTGGTGGACATATTAGACATACACACGAGTCAAAATGCGATTGACGGCACTATTCTAGTGTTGCTAACAGTTGGATGGATTAGTGTTGGCGTCTACGCAAACGATCTCGCCTTTAAACTATTCTCCAAGAAACATTTCTACGACAGCGTACGCGTGCACTCCAAGACAATCTTTAAGATTAATGCTGCACTGTTGGTTATTTTCCTGTGCACGGTATTCGGCGTTTTGACGAACTATAACAAGTTTGATCAGTTCTTGCCGGAGCACTGTGAGAAGATTAACCTGAACCCATGGATCTGTTACGTGATGTATGTAGGAAGAGTTGTTTTCTCACTGTTCTGTCTGGGATGGAACGCGATGGTGGCGACAATCTGTCTGTCCATGTGTCGGACTCACACCATTGGTAAGTACAGTTATGGACCTACTATATCTATTTTACAGGTACACGGGTTTAGGTACTAGTACAGGTCTGGATCTCTTACCTATGCCCAAACAAGTTTAGGCAATCATCTGTGAGTTTTACAGTGTTACAAGTACATGTACTAGTAGCCATCTGTCAAGAGTCAAGATTAACACACAATACTATCTATGCAAGTCTTTCTGACTTCAGGTGCAGGTACAAGTAGGTTCACGTACAATTGTGGCTTAACCTATAGGAAAAAAAACGTTAGTGTCTTCTTTATTTGTCATTGGCAAATTGGCTTAACCACAATTAACCGAATAGAAGGACAAATTTGTACTTCAAACAGTTGCTAAAGACATTGACACACAAGGGTTGATTTGGTATGAATGATTGTCATGCTGTTTGATGTATTCTTCATTAGCTGATTCATTCTCTCATTTACTTATGTTTTCATCTATCTATCCATCTATCCATCCACCCATCCATTCCATACATCTGTCCTATCCTTGTTCCCTGTCCAGCTATCCGTAAGTTTATAAGAGACCTAGAGGAGGATGGGATGGCGATAGACACAGTACGGGTGCTGAGGGGAGGACAGTGTCAGACCATTCATCTATCCATCCATCCTTCCTCTCATTTATTCTCAATCATTCTTTCATTCATTCATTCTTTCATTCATTCAGCTATTAGGAAGTTTATAAAGGATCTAGAGGAGGATGGGATGGCAATAGACACAGTACGTGTACTGAGAGGAGGACAGTGTCAGACTGTAGAGATGTCAGGGGAGTTCGGCGACTGGCTTGGGGTGGAGCAAACAGAAGGTTTGTTTATTTGTTTCTTTGACAGATCTTCCAGTGTCTCTTCTGCCTGCCATCTTAATTCCTAGAGTCATAAACACATTGCACTGTAAAACCTTTTTCCTATATTGATCTACAGTTTTGATCATTGACAATCAATCGTTAGAAGGCATCAGGGTCTAACCAGGTTAATCTACTCTCAGCAAAGACCCTCCTTATTCATTCACTAACTCACTCACTCATTCATTCATTCTCACTCATTCATTCTCTCACTCACTAATTCTCTCATGAAATGTGTCAAAGACTTGGTCTGTGGTTGCCATGTATTTTCTCCATCCCCAGACTACATTTGGGATGACACCCACGAGGACCTAACCCTGAGTCCTCCAACACCAGCTGTACCTGTGATTCAGCAGGAGAACCAGCTGCACCAGTTTCCTGCAGGAGCTAGTGTCCCAACAAACATGGCTGGTGCAAGGTCCGATAGTATTTTTTTTTTCTAAACTCTCTACCACATGGGTTACAAACAGTATCGTCACATGAGAAGTTCAAACAAGGCCTACTAGAGCACATGAGGGACATGCATAAGTAAAGTACATACAATGTTACACATTTGTTTACCGGTATTTGTTTATTTGTTTATTTTGATTTTTCACACATTTGTCACCAGGCCAACGTATGTCAAAGTTGAAGACTCCTACCTTCTTCCTCTTTGATACCCTAAATGGGATATTACTGAGGGGGGAGCAGTACGCATTTATGACAGGGTGACAAGTCCTTAACATCCTCTCCACAAATAGCAAATACATGACATTGTATTTGCAGAGAGGCTGTAGGACTCGGGAGCTATAATAGGTTTGGTAACCAGGCTATCAGCTGAGCTGAGACATGATTTTTAAAAACGTACCTTTCTGAATGTCTGTAGCATGGTTTAAAATACAAGAATTGTTTACAGTACATTTAATTTATCTTCAATATCCAGGCACCAGTTTCCCATTGGGAGTGTCCCAGCAAACCTGTCTTCATCTCCGCTGAGCTACGGGAGTCTTGAAGCTATGCCGGTCAACACACCGGTGGCAGCAGCTGGAAGTATGGGGGAGAGAAGCAGATTGTACAGTGCTACACCTAGGAGGCAACAGGGGGAACAGGTGAGGGTTGTAATTTTCATGATATTGGGCACTGTGGGGTAGTAAGTTTTTGGCTTTTGGTAAGAGTTCATTATGCAGATATCCAGATTAGTATCAAAATGTGAGTTCAAAGTCATATAACAAAGAAAAGTAACAGACATGAATGTTAATTTAGCAAAGTAACTGAAAGTACATGACTTATAGCTAAATTGTGTACACTGATGTTACGTTCAGCACTAAGGACAGTGCCAGTTTTAACAAACAAGCCCATAGATTAAGATCCCAAACTTTTTGAGGCCATTCTTACATTCATCATAATAATAACCTTTCTTTTAGTGAACAGTTTTTTTTAAAAACAATTCAAAATTTCCCTAAATAAACTTGCCCACATTAATTTTTTCTTTAGGACATTGACCGGGACAGCTATGAAAACAGCACATCTGACCTGACCCCTAACCCTGGCGCCCGACCTACCCAAACCCAGGACGACCCGCTCATAGAGGTCGACATAGAACCCACGGTGAAGGTCAGACGACCCAGGGGGTCTGTCGGCGACCCAGGGTCTCCAACCAGAGTTACTCCAGGGTCTCCCACCAGAGTTGTGCCAGGTCATCCTCAGCAGCTGCCACAGATCCTTGCTAACGGAGCCATTCTGCACACATACTGGAGAATTCAGGTACGACTGACTCCTCCTTTCCACTATATACAGTATGCTGCAACCAAATGCTTGACAGATTGCACAAGGAATGTCATAGAAAAACAATCTTTTTGCGTTGTTTATCTCATTGCAGGTCATATTCCAATTGCAAGATGAAACGTCACAAATATCCTATCTGATCACTAAATAGTCCTTCAAAGAACAAGTTAGGCTTATGTTGGACATTTTTTAGCCTTTTTGTCAGCTTTTCTTTGTGAGAATTCATTTTCACAAGATGTTTGGACATTATTGAGACTCTCTCATAAATGTCTCGAACATCTGAAAGTTTGCATCAATCAATTAGTCAATCATTTGCAGGTTTCAGGAACATTCGCAGGTGTCAGATATCTTTCTATGCCCTAAATTGGCTAACAGGTGTTTTTTTTTCATCATTATAGACCTGTTTACAGTTCACTTCTTTATTCCACTATTTTCTGGTGCATAACCTACATTCTGAACTGTCATACTTAGTACTAATTGTTAGATGATAACACATGATTTTTCCCCTTGTCCAGACCCTTGCGTTGGTTGGCCAGTTGGATCACCCTGACCATTTTCTGGTGTATAACCTACATATTAAACTGTCTGTATCTGTATCAGTATAGCCGGTATAACCGCCCTTCAGTGTAACACTCCAGCTTTGCAGGCACACAGCGCGGCGGCAGCTAGCTACATTACACTGAGCGACTTGTTACACCTAACCCTTGAACTTCTAACTCTAGGCATTGTTTAAAGCTATCTAATGATGATGCCCCTACTGTACTTGGTGACAGCGAGAGAATGAATTCTTGAACACCTCAATTTGAGTGTGTGAGTGACAGTTTTTTCTTCTTTTCCCAGACCCGTCTGCATTTCACCTCCTCAGCCCTCCAGCGTTGGCTGGCCAGTTGGATAACCCTGACCATTTTCTGGTGTATCACCTACATACTAAACTTCCTGAAACACGATATTATGTTATGTCTAGTGAGTGATACAGTATTTTCTTCTTTTTTTTCTCCAGACTCGTTTGAGGTTCACCTCCTCAGCCTTACAGCGTTGGCTGGCCAGTTGGATCACTCTGACCATTTTCTGGTGTATCACCTACATACTAAACTGGCTGAAACACGAGGCATCGATCCCAGAGATGTTTGAGTTCCTGCTGCCTCTCCTCACCCTCCCCATACTCTGTTCCGCTGTGGCAGAGGTCAACGGGGAGGGGGTGAGAGTTAGCAAGGTAAGTACAAGATGTCATGGCAACGGCTTTAGTTGTCATGGTAACAGCTTGGGTTGTCATGGTAATGGTCTGGGTTGTGGTAATGGTTTGAGTTGTCATGGGAACTGTCTGAGTTGTCATGGTGGTGGTCCAAGTTGTCATGGTGACAGTTTGAGTTGTTTTGGCAACAGTCTGGGTTGTCATTGCAATGGTTTGTGTTGTCATGGCAACATTTAAACTTATCGCACTACCTGCTTGAGAATTGTTTAAGTTGAATTGTCTTGGATAGCAAATAGTCACGTATGTTTTACAAGAATAGGAATAAAAGCACATACTAGTACATGTATGGTAATGTTCTGCTTTTTAGAAATTAGAACAAAAACAACAGATTAGTAAGCTAATGCTTATAAAGATGGCATAAAAATCCAGTTGAAAGAAGATAACAATTCACTGTAATAATTACTACTGTAACTAGGAATATTTGTAAGTTTGTAAAATTTGTAAATTCCAGAGTATCTGCCCTACTGAGGAGAGGTTTGATCTGCTGGAGTATGTCAGAAACTCCCCCTAGTGATGACTGTGAGTACTGCAGTTTCCTCTTCTTCTAACTTTAGATTTTAGGTACAGCTACAGGTATACAGGCTTAGGTACAGGCCCTGACCTGTACCTGTATCTAAACAATTTTGGCTAATTGTCTGTATGTTATACATTAAGCCAGTTGGTTTTTTAGTGGTGAAATGTTGTCTTTGTATGAAAATTTACATATTTTTATTTTCAATACTATTTACAGATTTTCTTCATTTTCAAGAGCTAAGTTGTCAAAAATGTCATATTTAGCTTTATTTATTGTAAAAATATTGTGTCCACTTGACAATGATCTATTTTGTTTCGATACAGGTACAGGTATAGGTACAGGTACACCAGATATTTAGATCTGGACCTGTACCTACATAATTTTACAGGTACCCCCCTACCATGGATGGCAACAGTACGTAAACAACATCAATCCTGGCTGTTGAAGAAATCTAGAACTATATTTTGAATATTTTTGTGCCAACAATATTTCCCCCACAGATGTACGGATCTCCGATCACCATTGCTTCCCTCGCCAAAGTCGCAGCTGGAGTTTTCTTTGCTCTCATGACCAACATCATATTCAGGGAAATCGACAGAGGGATGTTCGAAAGCATTGCTGCAACACTGGAAACTCCTGTCACTCCTTCGTAATAATGCCGCAAGGTTTGAAGCCTTACAGGTTCCTCAGAGTTAGAACAGCTAGCTGCATGCTTGCTCTATCTCATCTAATCTTCCATTTTTCTTTATTTCTTCATTCTGGGTTGGCAAACGAACTCTGGAATCCCCTTATACACCATCACATTATTACTTCACCAAGTTTGAACCTTTGCAGCAGGGTTTGCAGATTAAGAACAGCTTGTAGCCTCATGCATGTTGCCATATACATCATGATAATACATAGCACTGCTGCATGACAAATACTGCTGTATCTCAGATAGACTACTAGTATTTTAGGGACTGTGGAAATGCTGTAGTCCGCATGGCTGCATAGGGCCAGGGTGGCTGTAGAGTCACTGTGACTCCTTCGTAATAATGCCTCAAGGTTTGAACCCATACAGGTTACGTAGAACAGCTAGCTGCATGTTTGCTCTGTCTAATGACAATCTATCTTCCATTTTTCTTTGTTTTCACAGATACAATGTAAATTGCTGTAGTGACTGCGTGGCTGCATAGGACCAGCTAGGGTGGCTGTAGTTCCAAGTTTGACTGTACAATGATGTATTATGCTGGGTAGCCTGTATGCAACACATCTTCTCTAGAATGTCTTGAAAACCTGGATATCTGATCATGAAGTGCATATTACTCATGAATTACTGTTACTGCAGTAGCTCTCATTGAGTTCATGATTTTCAATGGTAGTTTTACATGTAGGAATCCGGTGAAACCATCACAGTTGATGTTGTATTCCTCATAGATATCTTTTCTTTGCAGGAATTCTACAGCTGCATGCATGGCTTAGGTCGCATGGAAGTCGCATATATTAACTGTCAAACTTTCCATTTTCCACATTAGACTATAGTTTGCCATCACTTGCTAACAAAACTTTCTTTTCTTTTCTTTTCTTAACCTAATTATGTCTGCCATCTTTAATTGCCTTTTTGTTTTTCAATCTTCAGATCTACTCGTTCCCCCTGACAGTCATGTCACTAGTGACAGTGTTTGGTGCCATCATTCTGGCGCTGATGTCACGCATCATTGTGCAAGAGATGAGCTTTATGCGGGTCACGACCACCCCCACTCCATAGTGGACTCTTCCACTACTTCCGGAGTCACCATCACATAATAAATTGTCATGCAATAAATTTCATAATGTTTATGCAAAGCTACATTCTCTTTCCATATCAAATGTTGGTATTTTAATTGATATATAGTTAATTATTGATCATGTGTACATAATATTTCTTTGTCAAGTTAGTGCTCATCTTGCACTGCATTCTGTAGACAGGTATGTCAAATGAAGATTAAAATCATATAGTAGTGGACTCTTCCACTTGTTTCCAAGTCACCATCACATAATGCATTGTACAATTGTGAAGCAATAAATTTTATAATGTTTAATGGAGCTGCATTTACAATGAATTTTGCTTAGCATATCAGATGTTGTTGTTAAAAATGTGTATCAATATTCAGTTGTACATAACATATCTGTACATGTATTTTGTTTGCAAGTGCTCATCTTGTAGTCTGTAGACATTTATGTCAAATAAGGACTCAAAGATTTTTACATTTTATTAATCTATAATATTAATGCTGGCTAATTCCAAATGCCAAGCTATAACGTTGCAAGACATAGTGAAGTCTACTACTAAGTACCAGTCTCATTTAAAATTCATTCAATCTTTGTTTTTGTTATGCGCATGCTTTACTGAGTAATGCAAACTAATGCCATTCAAAAGAGACTGCAAAATATATCAAATGTTGAGAAGTTTTATTTGTTTCATTGTAGGGACATATAAACATAAGGTTGTGTTTTGATGGTTGTCTTACACTGACTGGGCCTCCATGAAATGGGCAGAGTCAGAAACTTTAACAGCTACTGTGGATTGCCCCTAATAACTTGCATTTAAAATTATTCAGTATACATTGTGCATGTATATGCAGAATTCCTGATTGTAAAAGACTTATTTGAGTACTTAAAACAGTTGCAATGAAGTAGATGAATTATGATTATCATCATGCCATTCTGATACTAAGTACTAGCAAATGTTATTGTTCCAAACCTCGGCAATTTTGTCAGGTTCCTTTTTGTAAATTCTGCATCATATAAAATAAACCAAAATCTATTGTACATTTTACGGGTTGAGACTTATCATTTGGTGTATTGTATTTGTACAGCAAAGATTGTTTACAAGTGTCAGATCCTGAACATCCCTGGTTGTTATCATTGCCATGTCCTAGTGAGGCCCCCTGTACCTGTTTAAGGTACTGCATTGTCGGCGGACATGCACACCACTTGCAAACCAATCGGAATCTTGATTCAGTACTTTAACACTGTCCCAGTCTATGTTGTGTTTCTCCTTGGCGACGTGCTCCACAACAGGTGATGACACACCGCTCGGTCTCTTGTGTTCCTGCAGATGAGCGCGTAGTGTCTCTGACTCCACTACGTACATTTGTAGGTAGCCTGTTGTGTGTGCGGCCCTGACCCTCATAAATGTTAATGATAATGTTATTCAAATAGCCAGCTTCAGACAATTAACCCCACCTTGTACGTAAGACCGATCCTGGGTTGTTTGCCACACGGCATTTCGGATCAGCTACCGAAGGAGGCAGACACACCCTACAAGAACAACAGCAACTATACCAGTGTCTGTACCCGAGTTCCTTCAAAAAGTGCCAACGGACGTTTTTCGCTATTTTGACTGACTTTACAGGTATGTTCCGATCCGTGAGTGCACTTGCAAGGCACAATCTATTGTGCAAACAGTTTGTTATACCTTAATTAGCATTTTTCTCCAACCAGATATTGCAATGAAAGAAACTGACCTTTTGTTACATTTAGCCAGGATAAATAGCTACCAGAGAAGGCCGCTGCTACCAGAAAATATTTAACAGACCTCCATCTCATTATTTGCTTGCAACTTAAGTTAGGTCTGAGAAGGGGGGGGGGTGCAATGGAATTATAGCAACGGTCACGTCAGAGTATATTTTTCTCCACCTAGCAGGAGGTACATTTGCATTAGGCTTGCCCGACTGGGAAAGAAAGAAAGAAGCGTTATGACTGTTTAAACTGATGTTTCAGAAATGGACAAAGAACCCCTTTAATAAAAATGAAGACTGAGTTGAATTTTTTCACCTTCCAGTTGATTTTCGTGTCTGGTAGGTATAAACAGAGTCATAAAAACGTCGAAAAAAACTGTAAACAATCCTGATATCAATATTTAAACAGTCTGCCTCAGACAATCAACAGAATCATATCAATAAGATCACAGCAATTTAACGCTGTTTGTTCCACACTACAAAGAAACCACGACTGATTAGCACCTACTTGTACACAGCAGTACCCACCAGCAAAAAATGCACTTAGACACTAAAACTACACACACGGACTTCTTACATATTTCCATCTCTATCTCTTCTTCTTCTTTCCGTAATGCTACCACCTTCGACCTATCAAAGATTTTGTCACCGTGACTTGACTTTATACTGACGTAACTGTTGACTAAATGTTGACTAGAAAGTCATACATTTTTCCGAATTGGGAAGAAAGGTATACGTTTGGCTATGAAATGACCTTGCAAAGGAGCTTTCTGGTTTTTTTCAGGTGCCACAGCACCATGGGAAGAAAGCTGCGACACGTGCTGATTTTCCTTCTCATCATCCTGAAGGAGCCCAGCATGCCAGATGCTGGCTGCAGCTGTATGACATCATTTTACTTTTTGTATGTTGATCAATGCAAGTGCCCCAACCAAGGGCTAAAAAGCATCCCTCAGGACCTCCCAAAATCCATCTCCAGCTTGGAATTAGAAAATAATCTTATTAGATCTGTAGACCGGTCCCCACTGCTGAGGTATAAAAATTTGAGAATGTTTTTACTGCCTAAAAACCACATAAAAGAGGTTCAGACAGGTGCATTTGCACATTTAACATGCCTCAATAGGATAGACCTGTCCTACAACCAGATAACAAAGATCCAATCTGGTACATTTGCAAATCTCCCTGAGCTCCGAGTGCTGAATCTCGGTTTCAACCAGATATCAGAACTTCAGCCTGGTGCATTTGTAAATCTACCAAAAATCAACAAGTTGTTTCTGTGTGAGAACCAGATAACAGAGATCCATCCTGGTGCACTTGCAAAATTACCCTTGCTCTATTCCTTGAATCTGTTCCAAAACCAAATAAAAACGATTCATGCAGGTGTGTTTGCAAATCTGCCTTTCCTTACAAATTTAAATCTTCGCAACAATCAGATTACAATGATTCACTCTAATGCATTCACAAATCTACCCTCTTTGAAAATGCTGACACTGGTCTCGAACAAGATAACAAACATCCACGCTGGTACATTCGTAAATCTAACCAGGCTACAACATTTGTGCCTTCGCCACAACAAGATAACAGAGATTCAGCCTGGTGCTTTAAAAAATCTGCCCCGGCTACAACAGTTGGATCTGTGCTCCAACCAGATTAAGAGGATACATGCAGGTACACTTTCAAATCTACCCCGACTACAACAGTTAAATCTGTGGAAGAATCAAATAACTAACATCCAGTCCAATGCATTTGAAAACCTGCCCCAGCTCCTAATGTTGAAACTTAGGGCAAACAAGTTGTCTGTCATTCCCCCTTCGGCTTTTGGCTGGTTGTCATCTATTCGTACCATAACACTTGGCGAAAACCCCTGGCAGTGTGACTGTAGGATGGCGCCTTTCAGACAGAATATCTCTAAGTTTTCGTTTGATCATATAAAGTTTTATCATATAAACAAGATGATATGTGCCCAACCCGCTAAATTTCAAGGAAGGAAGCTTATAAATGTAGATCCTAAAGAAATGATATGTGAAGAGACAACCGTACCACCACTAACTGTTGATATCCAAACCTCATCTGCAATGTCAACATCTTCAGTTGGCAACACAGAAAACAATACTAGCCCAACAGCACATCTTGTAGGCTCGACACATACCACACAGGCACATGTTAACCCATCCTCAGTTGGCAACACAGAAGACAATACTAGCCCAACAGCATATCTTGTAGGCTCGACACATACCACACAGGCCCATGCTATCCCATCCTCAGTTGGCAACACAGAAGACAATACTAGCCCAACAGCATATCTTGTATGCTTGACATATACCACGCAGGCCCATGTAAGCCCATTAGAAAGTGTCAATGGCTGTGTTATTGACTGTGCCAATGCCACCGTCACCTCTCGCTATCACTGGTTCTTTACACGCAATGCTGGCCCAACAGCACATCCTTCAGACAACACAACCAAAGCAGTTATAGTAACACCAACTCCTTCACTTGCAATCACTTCAAACGAACAGAAAACCGCTCCCAGTTTCCTCCTAACTGTTCTCATCAGCTCAGTCTGTGGTTCAGTAGCTGGGATTGTCCTGATGGGCATCACCATTCTCATATTTTGGTCCAAAATGAAGACGAAGGATCCCGCTTTAGGCCCAAATCCCAATGTTGTTCGTGGCAGCAACGCCGTACATACTGTAACGACCAGTGGTCATGATCCGCAGAATGAAGATATTGATAGTCACCGTGATCAGACAGGGCAGGGTCAATCTCAGGCCAACATTGAATCCAACACAAACACCACAGCTACTGTAATAACCAGTGGTGATAATCAGACAGGGGGGCAGGGTCAGTCTCAGGCTAACACTAAATCCAACACAAACACCACAACTACTGGAATGACCAGTGGTGATGATCAGACAGGGCAGGGTCAGTCTCAGGCTAACACCGAATCATTAGATGATAGAAATCCATCTTATGGTACAGGGCCGACTGTCTCGCAGCTAAATTCTCAGTACAGCACAGCTACTGTAATGAATAGTGGCCATTTGCAGGCAGGGCAGGGCCAGTATCAGGCCATCGCTGAATCCCTCGATGCTAGAAATTTATCTTATGGCACAGGGCCGACTGTCTCTCAGCTAAATTCTCAGTACACCACAGCTATTGTAATGACCAGTGGTGATGATCAGACAGGGCAGGGCCAGTCTCAGACCATCACTAAATCCAACACAAACTCCACAGTTACTGTAATGACCAGTGATCATTATTACCACTATGACGATACTAATAACCATCATGTTCGTGCAGGGCAGGGCCAGTCTCAGACCATCGCTGAATCCCTCGATGCTAGAAATTTATCTTATGGTACAGGACCGACTGTCTCTCAGCTAAATTCTCAGTACACCACAGCTTCTGTAATGACCAGTGGTCATGATCAGACAGGGCAGGGTCAGTCTCAGGCCATCGCTGAATCCAACACAAATACCACAGCTACGGTAATGACCAGTGGTGATGATCAGACAGGGCAGTATCAGGCCAAAACTGAATCCAACACAAACTCCACAGCTACTGTAATGACCAGTGATCATTATTACCATTATGACGATACTAATAACCCGTACAGAGCAGGGCCAGTCTCAGGCCATTACTGAATCCAACACAAACACCACAGCTACTGTAATGACCAGTGGTCATGATCAGACAGGGCAGGGTCAGTCTCAGGCCATCGCTGAATCATTGGAAGCTAGAAATCTGGGCCGACTGCCTCGCAGCTAAATTCTCAGTACCTAAATGTGAAAACACCATAATTGAATCCACATTTTTACAGTTAGACAGCCAATGAATGGCAAAGAAAATAGCAATGGGGCCCACATGCCCTTTTTCGTAGAGCGTAATCGGTCGTTTTTATTCTACGTAGAGCGTAGACGGACCGCTCTAATTCAATGTAGAGCGTTTTGGGCGCATTTTGCGTAAAGCGTATTTGCCGTTTTAATTCTACGAAGAGCGTTGTAGCCACTTGGCAGTTGTCGTAATTAATATAAAGCGTAATTGAGAAATTTCCTGAATTCAGCTTAATACGTAGCCAGCTCTCAAAATTTAGCATAGGGCTTTGTCGGGATCCCCCCATGCAGGCCCCAACAATTGGTCCTCAAGATCACTAAAAGACCATACTAGAAAGATTATAGCTGCTCGCCGAAAGGCCTTTGTGAGATCTGTTGGGTTTTGGACTTGATATTCTCGCAGTGGTCTCACTCATGTTGAATGCATATTCCACTAACAAAACAGTTTTAAAGTCCAGGAAACATTTTGAAAAAAAAAGTTGAAAAATAATCCTTGTGGAGGTAGGCCTTTTCTGTATCATACTTGTGCGACTGATTTGTTTGTTTATTTCGATCCCCATTAGTGCTTAAAAGCACTATTCTTCCTGGGGTCAATAAAATAAAACATAAATAACAAAACTTTGTACATAATGATGATTACAAAATAATAAAGTAAGTTCAAATCAATAGGAGAGGTCAGTTTTAGTTTTATTAGAATCCAGCATGAACACATCAGATTCTTCATTTTTATACTGTTTTTGAAAGATTTGTATATAAAACTATGTCATAGTAGAGATTGCAATACTGTCATGGCAATAGAAAAACTAATCGGAGTATGTAACTTTCATGTATGTATGTACTTCAAAGACAGAGCTTTTCAACTGTGATTCGAGGCACTTTCGGTGTGAGTTGATGAAACTTTACGGACTGATCTTCTCTGTTTCTTATTTACTTACTGTAAAACAATGATGTGCATAAGGCTAGGAAGTTTCTTTTGGCAGGAAAGCATTCTAGTTCTGCCAGCCAGGGGTCAGCCAACTAGATGAAAACAGAGTCGATTGTTTTTGCCAGAACAACGCTTCATCGTATAAAACGTATATTGTCTGTATTTACACTGAGGCTAACTTTCCATATCAAATGTTGTTGTCCTTATTTACATTTCAATGTGTATCAATATCATTAGTTCAAGTATACATAAGACATTTCTGTATTTTGTTTGCAAGACTCTCGTATTCTGTAAACAGTTATGTCAAATAAGGACTTAAAGACTTTTATATATCATTAAGTTATAATGCTAGCCAATTCCATTGCAAGACTCTGTGAGCTTTATTTTTAGATTTGGTTTTGTAATAGAACTGAATAATGCAAAGAAATGTAAGACAGCAGAATATATTCCATTGGAAAAAAACTTTTATTTTTATTTGTTTGTTACATTTTAGGGACATGTAAACACTCAAGGTTGTGTTTTGGTGGTTCTCATAATTTCTAATAGAGCCAGAAACTTGAAAAAAATGGAGATTACACTATAATTCGAAATCAATTGGTATATATTATACATTATACATGTACTTAAAACAGTTGCAATGATGTAAATGGAAGTCAATATGATATCTCTCTGATGCTAGTAAATATTGTTTCAAATCTTAACAATTATGTCAATAATCTTTTGTAAAATCCGTATTCTGTACCATAGAAACAATTATTAAATAAAGACTATATACAGAAGTATATTTCATGGATTCAGGATTGTCATTCGGTGGATTGGACTTTACTTACTGTTGTATCTGTTGATTTCGCTAGGAGGCAGTTCAATCAAGTTATACGATTGTATAGTACAATGTACAATGTCATACTATTGTATGACTACGGAAGGAAAGAATCACCTGAAAGAAATAAAGCTTTCAATTCATCAGGTTGTAAATTATCAATTAAAATTAAAATTATTGTATTATTATTATTATAAAGTACGTTTCCACCGCACTTGAATCAGACAGCTGATGAAGACCGAGATTCACTCAAAAAGTTCGATGAGTCAAAGTTAGAGAACAGTTATTTCACATCATGTAATTTACCAACTCGGATGAACATTGAGCTTTCATGCTAATTTTCTTACTCATAGGGATGTTGAAAGCTAAGTGCTAATGACATCTGTCATCTTCACAACGAATGCAATGAAAGTAAAATTATTCCAAACTTTATAGGGATAACAATGCACAGAAGTGCCACTTTCCATTTGTTACTATATACTAATGACCAAAACACAAACACTTATCTTACAAGCACTCTATAACAATGCTGATACTCCTAGATCTGGATTCAAGGAAAAACTTAACTGCAGGTTGTTCGCACAGACTGCTACTCGTCAGAAGCAGGCGAGATTCCACCGCTTGGCATGTCGTCTGCAATACAGTAGAGAATTACGTGTTAGTGTTGCAACAATTAAGAGTTTTTTTCATAGCAAGTGTGGCAGAAAGTGATATTCTCCTGAACATAACAGACTTGAGAGATTTTGTTCCTTGAAGAAGAAGAAAGCAATACAGAATGTCAATTAATTATAGTCTAAAACAGGCATAAAGTCAATAACAACACAAATGTCAAAGAATGGTTGTACCTGTGATACCGCAGGCTCGCAGGAACTCTCTCTCTGAGTCCTCCCAGTACTTGGACTCCAGAAGCGCAGCTTTGAACTTCTTTGCCTGGTAGAATGCCGTGTCAGTGTCGTTCAGAGTTTCGCGGATTTTGAGCGCCCACGTTTTGGCAGTGTCGTCCATGTCGCTGTCTTGCACGCTGGTCTCCACGATTCTGTTCAGTAGGCCCTTTGGCAACTTCTTCTCAGCAACGAGCTTCTCGATCATACGCGCCAGTCCTGACTTGTCGGAGATGAGGACAGGGATGCCGGCTGCGATGGCCTCCAGACCAACTAGCCCAAACGGCTCGGAGCGGGACGGCATCAGGACCAGGTGGGCCATCATCATGTCAGTCTTGATGTCCTTTTGAGTCCCGTACGGCCGCAGGGTGGGCATCAGGTCACCGCTGTTCAGGTTGGCCTCCAGGATCTTTAAGCTCTCCTTCCAATCATCCTTGCTGATGCCGCGCGTAATCCATCGCAGATACTTCAGATTCTTTCTGGCAATCCCGATGGACCTTGCTGCAAGATTGTAGCCTTTCAGATTCTCAACATTCTTCACTCTCCCGATAGACAAGACCACCAACTCACCTTCCCCGCTTTTAGGTTGGATGACGACTTCTTCAAATATCTTAGATGGCCTCGGGAAGAACGGATGGTGATCTCTTGGTGTCTTGCCTCCTTCATATTTAGGAATGAAATGCCTGTAGATCCGCTCTCCCACAGAGAAAGCTGCCTTTGCTTTGTCAACTTGACTGAGCATAGCTTCCTCTTTTTCCGAAGCCCTCTGGCCTCCCTTGAAGTACTCAGTGTCCTCGGGTAAGACGTGAGTGAACATGATGAGGTCTGCCTCGTCCTTGTAGTACTCGTTCTGGATGTTTCGCGCTGCCGTGTCTGTGATGTCAGCGTGGCCGATGATGACGTCAACATGTGGTGGTAGCGTTGATTTCGGGTGGGGGCTTCGCTGGTATTCCTGTAGTGTTAGCGTCGACTTTGGGTAGCGGATCTGGTAGTCAAACGTCAGCCAGTCTATGGATGGCTCTCTCGTGTCTCCTTCTGGTTGATCGGGTGTGACCAGTTTGACCTCATCTCTCTCTGCTGATTCCTGATCTTGTTTGGGCACATCCAGCTGTAGGACTGTGCAGTACACGACTGCCTTACCCTGCAGGGTTTGGCTCGCCTGGCAGTTGATGGTAGAAATTCCTCCCTTTGAAGTTCCATACTCGTCATTTATCAGCAAGACTATGGGTCGCTGATCCCCTTTATGAAAACAGCGACATTTTAGGGAATCTTGTGGTGCATAGTTTATAACTTGCCAACGGAAAACATCAATTGCTTAAATACTGGCAGGTGATAAATCTCGCTATCTCACACATTTTATTATCAGATGTTTCAACATTTTTTCCAGAGCTTTACTGCCTACATTGTGCAAAAGAGTTTCTTACCCAAGACAATCGGAGGATCTTGACCCTCCATATCGGAGTCTTCTGATTCTGATTCACCACTCGCAGTGCTCCCTGCGGCAGAGGAATGAATGACTGGTTAACGATGTTTGACAGACGTATAGCTATTGATTGTTATGTAAGGAACAACAAACCTCTACAAGAGCCTGAATCATAATACATACTGTTTTCATGATAAAGGGCAGACAGGAAAAATACAAGTCACATTGCCCATTTACTGGACCTAGAGCAGTGCAAGATATCGCACGAAGCGTTATACAGTGTACCTGTATCAATGCAAAGGAAAGATAAATAAGATAGTTATCTTCACCACTTGCTCGTGGATCCACTCTGATTCTACTTGGCCCTGCTCCATCGTCTGTCTGGCAAACATCTGATGCTTTTGGCCTCGTTGTCGTTGCAGGTAGGGATGGGCTGACGCCGTCTCTGTGCTGTTTTCGAGCGGTGCCTTTCCTTCTGCTACCTTCACCTGCCATGGAACACACAGCAGCCATAAAGACATTATCAAAATTGTACTAACACACAGACACACACACACAGTTACAGACACACACACGAACACACAGAGACACATGCACGCTCACACAGGCACACACGAACAAACCCACCTTCGAGGCCTCAGACATACACACACACACTAACCGACAAGAAACACACATACACGCATACAGATACTCAAAGAGAGTAATATTCACCCTTTGTCCATGAACCAATACTCATACCACTGGGTCCTGCTCCATCATCTGACTGCCGGCTTTTCTTGACGAGAAACTCCAAATGTTCCGTTGGTGTTGACACGCCGCTGTCAGATCCTTCAGCTGCGTGGCTTCGCTTGGCAGCTGACACCTGGACACCTGGACATAGAAAACAATCATTGTAAATGTACTATAGCTTAGTTCAACTGTGCCAATATAACTACGAAAAATGTCTGATGCAGTTACGAAAGAGAAGCAACAATTCACTACTTGCTTTATCCTTTGCATCATATAAAATCATTTGTACTCACTGGACGGAATATCACCTTCCTGAAACAGGAAAATTCTCGCATTATTTCGGCAACATAAAAGTACAGAAACAATTAATTCAATGAATATTTTCATTCAACATTCAGTTACTGACAGTTGTGTGGTAGTCTTCAGTTCAGAATACATAGTGATTTTCCAATATCTTGCCTTACCTCCCAGAAACTGAAATGACACACTTGCTCAGAAAACTTTGTAATGGCCACTTCTCCTTTGACATGTTTTCCATTAGATCTGTCCAGCAGCATTTGAACGCTCTGGCCCTCCGTGCGTCGACAGTGGTCTGCTCGCATCAGCATACGCTTGGGTGGTTTGACATCTCCATCAACAGTTACCGAAACGTCAATATTATCGCGATGATAGAGGCTTCGGTGAGCATCGTTTGTTCCACACATGGTAAAACCGTGACGGTACCCCTCCGACTGAACGCTCTGGTCTCGACAGACAACGTGGAATTCTACACCCTCTTCATGGGGCTTGATGTGCCCAGCAAACCGGCAGTCTAACGTTCTTGACATCAACGCTTGAACTATTGCTCGCTGTACTGCTTCAAGCTGCCTCGCAGGAACCCACGCAAATGCGAGAGTACAGAAGGCTGACCAGCATGCAGTTATGCTGTCTGAGTCAATATGAAGCAAAGTTGAAGCTGTGATATCCTTCCACCCTTCCCCATCATGATGCTTTAGCAGAATGCACTCCATGCCTCCAGAACCAGGAGGCCTCCACGTCTTTAGCTCCAAGGGTCCACTCAGCTGTGCACCGTGCAGGTTGATATCAACAGCCGGCGAAAACAGCACTTGATTCATTATCTCACGCGAACAATCGTTCTTACCCAGGGACCAGGGGTAGCCGGAGGTCCAGCTGACACCTTCATGACTCCTCAAGATACGGGGGATGTCTACGGTGGAGACGGTGATAGTTGTGTCTGTCTGAAGGGCGCCGGGTGGCACAGCAAGATCCACAAAACCAGGTATCTCCACTCTTCCACCCACCGGTCCTACAGAGGCCTCTGCTGTCCTTTGGTACTGAAACTCGTCTGGCACTCCTAAAATGGTTATACACACCAATGTTTAAGAGAAAAGAGAGTCTTAGTTGTGAAGCTAGTTATTCTTGCTCCACCCACTACCTTCTCAGATCTCTAGGTTGGATTAGAAAGGCAACCCATAGCGCTAGAGCCTAGAAATGCCAAAGAAAGCTTATTATATATAAAGAGACGATGTCCTGCTTTTGAGGCTTACCCAAGTAAAGTCTACAGTATCCATGCTTGTCCTTTGACATAATCAATTGGATTCTCACGGAACTTATCTATAAAAATAAAATCTATTTTTGCATTTGAGTTATTTTATACAATCAAGCATGTGACAATTCTTACCTTTAGGTGCACTTTATCACTGTGCTCTTGTAAAACTGAACTGATGAATGTAAAACCAACCTGGATTGTCTCGTACGATAACCGGAAAGCTGATTCCAGCCGCGATCATGTCCTTTTCCAGCGTCTCGAAGTCATCTTAAGTTTGTGGAAAAAAGGCTACAATTTAGCTGTTTTGTAAAACAAAACGCATTCAATGATATCAAATTCAGTTAGGTTTAAAAGTACAGATATTTAAACTGTATCTTTGTGAAGGTAACTAGATCCAACCGTAAATGATAATTCACCTACCAGCTGTGATGTAGCCAGTCTTCGCCATTGCCCTCATCAGGTCTTGAGGTCTTTTTATCTCTTGACTTTCTTGCTTCCCGGTTCGTGCAGACCACGCCCTTAAAAGTGACTTGAAACCCGCCTCGTCCAGTGGACTGAAAATGCTTCCAAAAAGCATGTTGTGCACGATTTTCAGCAGTCTTTCCTCTGGTACTGCCTCTCCTTCCATCTCAATCTCTTCATGCTTCATGTTGAAGAGGACAGGAGACCGTTGTTGGAGCACCTTGACCATCCTGTCTTGGGAGCCTTTTGGGTACAGCAGGATCGGCAGCAGTAGCTTCTGGTTCAGAACTTGGAACTCATAGTCGAGGTTTGACCAGTGTTTGTGATGTAGCGTCTGGGGACTGATGACCAGAGCAACCATCCTGTCGTTCGTGTTGAGCAAAAGTTCCACTGTTTTCTCTGTGATGGAGTCAGTTCCCGTGATGACCTCCGTGAGGCAAGGCAGTCCCGACTCCTTAGCGGCTGTCTGGAGAGGCAGGACGAACTCTGCTGTGTAGTCGTCCGCGTGGAGGATGACAAGTTCTTTTCCTGAAATAAAGTAAGTATTGCATTTTTATCTGCTGTGTTCAAAAAGGATGTTCTGTCTGATAGGTGAGCCAAGGTAGAACATAGGTCGTAATCAATATACCTCGAACTATCATGTAGCTACCTAGCTCGGAACACTAACTTGCTTAAAACAATACAAACATTATTCAGGTTCAATCTCACAGTTTTCGGTAGCTAATAACGTACCTCGTTTCTCTCTCAAGAAGAGATCCACAAACGCTGGGCAGCACATTTCCACCGCGGCTCCCAGCTGATACGGATCTACTTCGCCCTGCCTCATCATATCCAGGACCCGTTGTATCGGTGTTAGCTGGTTCCTGATGTGGTCACACTGGTCCAGTGTCAGTACTCCTCCCTGCTCCATGGTGTCCAACACGGGGCCGATCGTGCGCATCCCAACGATGGTGTCAGGGTCTCCCAATGGCTGTAGAATCACCGGACCGTCCCCTCCTGAGTTAACTGTATGTAGAGGCTTTTTCGTTAATAGCAAACTCGTCACAGACTGTTAGAATTACGGATAAGTATTCAGAATGTACAGTAAACTTACAGGTAGAGAATTTTAACCCACAAAAGGACTTACAGGATTGCTACAAACAAGCTTTGTACAAAACATGTATGCAGTAAACAATTCATTAATTTTGAAACATAAAAACTTTGAAGATGATTAGCTAGAATGTTCTCAGACCTGTGTGATCGCGTTGGCCATCTGGCATCCAGACTGCACGAAACACAGATGGTATTCTAGTAGAAAAGGAGAACATAAATGTAATCTATGTTGACATGAAATATGAGGGTTGACATGAATATTCTGATTAAATGAAGCTTTACCTCATTCGTTCTCCACAATAACTATAATTATGTGGTGTGAGATTCCCCATATTTGATTTAGCTTTACACATCCACATCGCACAGTTGTCTCAATGACACTGACTCCCGCTGACGTTGACCATTGCTTGTGAGGGACTAATGTTTTACTCACCCCCACAGGTGTTCCAGGGACCAGTATTCTGTCGGCAATGCCCGGAATGCAGGTTCACCTTTGTCCTCTTGTGTAGAGCAGCACAACTCGTACTGGATGCAGGGGATCCACTTCTCCTTGATCTCGAACAGGGCGCTACTCAGGAACTTCCTGACCCGGAGACCGTCTGTGAAGACGTTCGAAGACGACAGAAGCTCCACTTTCAAGTAGTGGTTAACCTTGGTGATGACAAACGCTTGCTCCTTGTCGTCAGTAGGGAAGCGAGCACAACCGGCAAACACGCAGGACTCTTGCAGTCCGAACCTGCGCACACACAAGGCTTGCAGACGGCTGAACATGCCGCTGGGTAGAAACTGCTCACTCAAGTATAGCGCCTGTGGACAGATGTACATGTTGCCGGGATACAGCCTCGCGTTGTCCCTCTCGCAGCTGAGGAGTGCAGGAACGAAATAAATCTCTTCCTGCTGGGCTTCGTCAGTGGCATCACCTATTGTTGTGGCGTTGCAGATGAGGTAGAACTTCTCCATGAGCGCCTTCAGGAAGGACTTGTGTTGGAGCAGAAATGGCTTCTTCAGTTGTTGGTCCTTCTCTCCCCAGATCCTTGTCAGCAACTCATCGCTGAGAACTCCTTCCTTTTCCAGCCTCTCCCACATCTTTCTCACCTGTGTATCCGTCACCCTGTCTTGCTGATACTGAGGAACTGTGATGATGGTCTTAAAGACGTCAATTAACACCTGTGGCTGCAGGGTGACGTCATCACGGAGACTGGGCTCGTCAAAGAAGATGATGTCACCGCGATCATGGAGGAAGGTGAGAACCAAGGCGAGGGTGTGCTCGTCTGTGATGTTGATGTCTGGATCTCGGGCCAGTTCGGCTACGTCCTGGAACTTGACAAACGGACGCTCCTCTCGCTTTTTCCTCAGTCTAGACTTGAGATGAAGCCATGGGATGGGTATTTCCTCGCCCATGTGCGGCTGACGGCTTGCCACCAGCCGTATGTAGTCACGAATCTCGTCAACTGCTGCGTCCTCAGTTGTGTTGTCCACTGCAAATATTTTTGGCATAACAAGGCTGCCTGCCGCCTTATCATTAATGTGGTTCCGTATCTCTTCTTTGTACTTCTCTATGTACTCCTGAGAAGGCCAATAAAGTTGCTTTGGATTACTCCGCATTAACAAAAAACTATTGAAACACCTGCCTTTGGAAATTAACAATGAAATGTACAATGACCAGAATATAATAGTAAGTATTCGGCTATGCATATCTACTAAACTATGCAGTATGTAGATGTGTTGATTTGGTTTGATTTATTGAAATTGCCAGGATACAATTCACGTAAGGCACAGGGAGCTTTCGTTGGTGTTGTGTCTCACACATAGAACATTAAAATACATAAAAAATACAACATGTAATGTACAATAACAGTAACAATCTTTTGCTGATTAGCAAGTAGATGCTTCCCCCTGGAACAAATAAGAACAAATAATGACTTTGATAGAACTTGTACAAAATATATACCTTGGAGACCTTGTCCTTGTGCGTGAGGACAATGATAACTGGGGGCCGTCTCGGTTGCCCAGTTTGGTGTTGCAGAGTGTGAGAGCGAACTGTGTTCAGCCAGTGGTCCAGATAGTCTGGAGAAAAAAAACGCTATCAATACAAAATATCCTCCTATACAGCAATATCTTTAAAAAAAACTATGAACATTGGTACAGTTCATTGACACTGGGATATGAACTGTTAAATTGTTGGACTGTTCAGATTCTTCGCTTCAAAGTTATAGATCAGTCTTCTTTGCATGATTGAGAAGCTTATTTTTATGATATCCACAATACAATATTTCCAGATAGCATAACTAATAGCTGTTCAAAACGTACCTCCTCCCGTTCTTAGGTTGTCCACAGACGCCTTGTAGTCCAGGTCCGGTACAGGGTCGGACAGTTTCTGCAGCAGAGACATGACGAGGATGTAGACTCCCCTGTGGGTGATGAAGCAGTGGTGGGTCCCGTAGTAAGTCGCCTGGCCGCCGAAATCCCAGAAGGACAAACGCGGATGTTCAGGAGTTCCAACTTCTTCCTCTGTGATACCGGCCTTACGCATTTTTCCGCTGCTTCAACAACGATGTCTGGAATCGTGGAGGTTTCGGGGCTCTCTGTTGCCTCCTTTGTATATTCTTCTTCACCTTCTACGTTAGTTACTTCTTCAGTAATCTTCGTCGGTGTTTTTGATCCTCCTGGTTGCATTTGTTTCTCAAGGTTTTCTGACGGTGGGAGTGGCCTCTTTTCTTGTGCTGCAGAGAAAAGCACGTGGACATGAATAAAAAGGTCCATCTGAGGTACACAAAATTTGCCTAGATTTTTGTTGGATATTTGCCATTTTTATGTCTAATATTTGCCATTTTTGTCTGGTTCTTTTACCTTAAAGAGGCAACACAAATAAAATGATAACTTTGTTTATCAGAAGAATTTTCGATACAACGTAAAATTGCGATGTTTTTTTCATAGTTTTGTTTTGTATTCCTTTTAACATGCAGAATTTTAAAATGAATCATCTTTTGTTAAATCTTTTTACGATTCCTAAGTTTATTCCTGAGGCCATGTTAGTGTATCCAAAGCAAAGAAACAAACCTTCCAAGGTCTCCACTGCCTGATTCTCATCAATAGCAAGGAGGGCCTGTTTCAAAACCTGTAAAGTAGCTTCCTTTCCCATCTTGCTTCTCCACCTTTCCAGCACCTTTCTGCACCTGTGTTCATCGTCAGGTTCCGAGGCTCTGATTTCTCTGATCTGGTTCCGCGTTCTCCACCCTAGCTGCCGCGCCAGGTCTTCCCACTTGTGGCTGACTTTGGTGACGACATTGTCAAAGTCCTCAGTCCCGTCAGCTGGAACAAACATGTGTTGAATTAAAATCACTGTAGAAAGAGACTTATCTCGTTACAAAAAATACATGAGGTCAGTTGAAAACTTTGGAAAAAGTAAAGTATACTTACTTGTTATTGCTTGTTTTCCAACTGCAATATCACTTGTTTGCTTGCTTGGTTGCTTTTGGAGCAATGGTCCTGCCAACTCATCTATCTCCTCTGTAGAGAAACAAAGGCCATGGAGTTGGTCTGCCAAAACGTTTATAGAAAAAACAGAAAAATCCAAGTGACAATAATTATGTCATAATACCTTGTGACTTCTTATATGTCTTGGTCTGGACATCTGAAATGATGTTGATTCCATCAGTGATAGGTTCCTCCTCCTCCTCCCTGACCGTTTCTCCCATCAGCCTCTTGATGAAGCAGGTTTTCCCCGACCTGTACTGCCCCACCACCGGAACCCGTGTGCTGTATACTGGCAGCGACCCCTGGCGGCAGGCGGCGGCGTACAACCTCGCCATCTCTGGTCCTCGCAGCACAATACGAGTGGACGAAAGTTCTGAGAATAGATATTGGCAGTTAAAACCTTAAAAATGCTTAAAATTATGGTCTTTCATATCGTTGCAAGACTTTATTTTCTATAATGATATACAGTAAGCACAAATTCTCACTAGTATAGACATTCAAAAACGCACATTAATAAAAAGACAAAACAGTGAGATTAAAAAGGAATGTTAAATGAATAAAGAAAAAGGAATGTTACCAGGAAACATAATATTCAGTCCATTCACAACACTCTGACCTGTACGCGTATCTAAAGTGTGGCCAATTATCTGAGGTCATGATAATCATATGTGCTTTATTTATATTTATTTATTTATTTGTCATTGATCAGCGAGGTTGCCTACTAGTCTTTCTGCGCCAGCCAACTAGTAGTACAAAATCTAGTCATTTCGAGGTCTCGTCAAGACCTACCCACATATCAAATATCAAGACACTCTATGAAAGCCTTCTCGAGTTATCGTGTTGAAACTATTACAGACGGACGCACAAAATTGGGAACAAGATTAACAGTGTCTTAATTAATGTAAAGATGCCTCCATTCCTGAGGCGTAACCACTGATTCCTGACTTCACTCACCTTCTTCACTCGCACCACCAGTGCTTGTTCCCGGTTGTAGTTCAAAGGTTTTCGGAATCTCTCGGTCAGGCGGTTGGAACGGCCTCAGAACGTCCCTCACCAGGTCTTGGCGTCCCATTGTTTCCAACAGTTCTTCCAGAAAGTCGAGATTTTCCGGACCGATTTTATCCAGTTGTACCAGCTTGTGGAAAACGTCCATCGCATGCACGAGTCGTTCCGCCTTGCCTTTCGGAATCACGTGCCTGCAGTACAACTTCAAAAGCGCCGTTTCCGCTGTTGTCAGGCCTTCGGAAATACGGTGCAAAGTTTTCACAAATTCAAAATGGCGTCTGTCAGCTTCTGTTATGCTTTGTTGGGCCGGACCTGCCATCCTGGAAAATGATAAACTTTAAAATACATCTCTAATAAACATTGTACGTCTTCGTACGTGAAATCTCTCTTTCGGCTTGGTTTCGTTTCCAAAGATTTCAGGGGCCCTTCCCACCCCTGCTGCATGCTCGCTGGTGGCTGACAAGGCCGATACGTACATGCAAATAAGTCACACTGAAATTACATTGTAGGTTCACACAGGTCAGTTGATTATTGTAATATAGTAATACAATTCTTGCAATACGAGACTTGCTGGATTTCGTACGTAAGGGAATGCAACAGCATATTAACATTCTTGTCTTATTTAATAGTCACAGATTAAATAAAAAGAAATGTCCAGGCACTTCTCACCTGTAGTGAGGCAGGTGTAAAATACTCACCTGTGTGACGTCACGGTAAGACGGATTCCTTATCAAGACGTAACCAGCGTCAGCCTGCTTCTCTAAGACAAACTTCCTCGACTGTCTCCTGTCTGAACCTCCGGTAGACTTAAAATGTTTGTAGCGAATGTAGCGAACAGAGGGCCTGTTGGACTTTGCTCACGGCCATTGCACACCACTCTTTTACCTGCAAATGTGTAGATGTTTGTGTATGGTTTATGCTTAATTGGCTCATTAGGCAGATAACATGCCAGGTGAGTTCAAAGCGGGACACTGTACTCCTTCAGCGGGCTAACTCCTCTGACATGTTATCCGTCTATTTAGTCAATTGCTCTATATCTGGCCAATCTGTGTTCTGTTACCATGTGTTGGGCATCCATCACAAAGTTTTCTGCATAATATTTCCATTGTTATATAAACCTAGACCAACGCGATTATCTTACCTTCCGGGACGACCGTACTGCACTGTGTCTTCAAGAAAAGGACGCCTTTGTAGCAAGCATTTAAACTTTAAGGTTCAATCATGAGTGCAAAACTGTACGTTTACTGTAGGACCGTCTAGTACGGCCGCCCCTCCCCTGCTGAGGCCCCGACCCGTTACCTGGATACCTGGATAACCTTTGACTTTGGTTGACGTCAGCGCATTCATGGCGGTCACGCGCCAGGTAACACCGTCTCACCTGCGTGTTTACGTTCCGTCAGGTGTGTTTACCTGGGCGATATCGGGGCTACTGAGAAGGCCCGCAGTAGGTGTGAACAAAGGGCAAATTGGCACACTGACTTAATATCATTAAAGACATCCTCTGAGACCCCCCCCCCCCCCAAAGTAGTAAAGCAATGCGGGCAAAAAAAAATTTGAAAAATTAAATAATGTCTCTAAAGCACGGGAATGCAAAGCTAGTATTGTGAATTTGCGGCCGTTCATAGCGACTTTTACGACAAGCCGATACATGCTGAATGCATGAATGGATACTGTACTATGTACTGAGTTCTTGAGTCGTGGAGCATCGGCAGCCTGGGTGACGTCATCTATAGTTACCACAGGCTCCCTACCATGGACTACGGAGGATGTCAGCCAGGCCAGAGCCTCGGAGGTGATGTTTTAAGTTTGTTTTTGAAAACAGGTGAAAATCAATGCACGCGAGGATATCATCCATAAAGTTAAGGCAGTGTGCCCTACGTGTGTACAAAGGGCATGTTGGTGCTTAGTAAAAGCTAACTGCCAGGGGTCCCCACTGCTACGCCGTTTGGTTGGGCCATACTTATAATTACTAATCTCCAATCAGATGTTTCGATGGCCGCAAAAGTATCAAATTGGCCAGGCAGTATCCATTTGTCTGGCCAACCTAATACTGTCTTTTGTGGTCAGCGAAACATCTGCTTGGAGATTAATACTTACTTCATTATACTGATCACAACAAAAGACACCCCAAACTTGATACGAGCACGCTAGAAAGGACATGTGTCTCTATTGTAAAATCTAAATGACCAAGAAGGTCGAATAAATGACTGAGTACGTAGAACATGGGTACAAAACAATGATTCAGACGTATTCTATATTCTTGTCAAGGTTTTTTTCTTCATATTTCCTTCTTCGACGTTGGAAGAATTAGCTCAAGGCTTGGATTAAATTTGGAGGCTCTAGGGCTGGGAGTCGTTTTTTTTTTGGTGTGTGTGTGTGGGTAGGGGGGGGGGTAGGGGCATTTACGTATGCACTTATTTTCCTTTGACTTATACTTATTCTCGAGTTCTTGTGCTGGCCGAACGTAGACACAACAAACTTGAGTACAAATAGAAGTGATATGCCATAAGAAACAAAGCACACTGTAACCCCAACTCCCCCCAAAAGAGACCCAGTGATTCGGCTTGCTATAAAAAAAAACTACAGGCTATTAAAAAAGAACTCCGCTGAGGTGAAAATGAGTACTGTACATGTATTGTCCCCTGTGTTGGTGGCGGCATAAGCTGTAAAAACTTGAGTGTGCCGTCACCACGCACGTCTTGTGATGGCATGTTGGAATTAAGATAAAATAAAAATTCTGCAGCCACCTGTAAAATGCCAGTTTGTTTTTGCAGACGGCTCACAGCAGGTAGCCGGCGCCTGGCTGGCATCGTGACGTCAAGACACAGATTTTTGGTGAGAGAGGCCAGTTCATTTGTAAACGTACCCTGTAATTAGCCTCTGTTCATTGTTTGAAAAAAAATACCTGTCATCAAGAATTTGTTTTAAAGAACAGGTCGCTAGAAAGTAGGTTATGAGGTTATTGACATGGATTGGGCTTCAGTGATAGTATAGGTATGGAACAAATCTGTAGTTTTTTTTTTATTTAAAAAATACCTGTTATTATGAATTTGTTTTAACCAGTGCAATTCAATACTCTAGTCAATATCTACATAATTAAAAACAAAACTGTCCCAAGGTATATCGACATTTATGGAGCAAAAATGCCCAAAATTCTGACAAAATAAAGATAAAAAACGGTTACTTTAAAGGACCTGGATTGTTTTTACGGTGCCTCTCCTAAAATGACGGACTTTATCTTGGGACTTGTTTCCACAAATACAGTTTCAAGTTTGCAATTTCAAATGCCTAAAGTATGAAATACTGATTCAAATGTGCTAATGTGGGACAGTATGTGTCAATATCATACAGATTGCCTTATTCAGAATATTTCCAGTTTTGCCACCCTGAAATTGCATGAGATGCCTTTAAAGAAAGGGTCGCAAAGAAATGTGATTAAGTTATTGACATGGAGTGAGCTTTGCTGATACTAAAAGTATAAATATGAAAGAATCAGTATTTGATTTGTTTGAAAAAATACCTGTCATAATCCATTTGTGAACAAAGTGAACAGGTCACAACGAAGTAGGTTCAATACAAATATTGACATGTCAATTATATGTCATTTATACTAGTAATATACACTGCAATCTACCCATTAGTATACTAATAGTTATATCTCAACAGGGGTACCCATTACTCAATATTAAATATTGACATGGAGTGAGCTTCACAGATAGTATAAATCTGAAAGAATCTTCAATTGGTGTTTTGAATCTTTTTATCCAATAAACAATAAAGAAGTGAATCAGTCTTATATACCTGACAGTACACGAGACAAAAAGACGACTTTTCTCAGCTTGAAAAGCATTAAACAAGCTCGTTACTTTTAATAACAGTTTAATAACTGTTTATTCCTAAAAACCAGCCTCACAGTCTGTACAAAAACATACCGAATACCACTGATTTTTTTACAGTTACATGTACTTGTCTGGCAAATACAAATTAACATTGCAAAACATATACAAACACACGAACAAAAACATCACAAAAAGCCTTACATGGGCACTAATGTAAAGTAAAGACCAGAGAGTCCTAAGAGTCTAACTGCGAAGACTTTTCAGATTGAAGCTGGTTCAATGACCTTAACAATAATTTTACAACTCCATCGGCGGCGTAACTTGATGCAGGTGCGTGTCCGGTTTCCAGTTGTTTTCTCCGCATCTATGTGTGCAAATACTAGCAAAGTGAGACTTAATAAGTCTTTTTAGTGGCATTAGAAAAGAGATTACCATAATATATATAGAAAAGCAGGTTGAATGAACTTTGCAATCATTTTACAGGCCATGTAAGCTAAACTATGTACAACTCTCGGCGATGTAACTTGATGTAGGTGCGTGTCCGGTTCCAGTTCTCGTGTTTTGTCCGCATCTATGTGTGTAAATACTAGCAAAGTGAGACCCAATACGTCTTTTAAGTGGTATTTTGCTTAGAGGTTTTCAGATTGAAAGGTAGGTTCAATGAACTTTTCAATCATTTTTTAGGCCATGTAAGCTAAACTATGTACAACTCGGCCTCACTTGATGCAGGTGCGTGTCCGGTTTCGCGTCTATGTGTGTAAATACTAGCAAAGTGAGACCCAAGAAGTCTTTTTAGTGGTATTTTGTATATAGGTTTTCAGATTGAAAGGTAGGTTCAATGAACTTTGCAATCATTTTACAGGCCATGTAAGCTAAACTATGTACAACTCGGCCTCACTTGATGCAGGTGCGTGTCCGGTTTCGCGTCTATGTGTGTAAATACTAGCAAAGTGAGACCCAAGAAGTCTTTTTATTGGTATTTGAAAAAAAAGGTTGTCTTATTGAAAAGCAGGTTCAATGAACTTTGCAATCATTTTTCAGGCCATGTGAGCTAAACTATGTACAACTCCCGGCGATGACACATGATGCAGGTGCGTTTCCAGTTGTTTCGTTCGCATCTATGTGTGTAAAAACTAGCAACGTGAGACCCAAGAAGTCTTTTAGTGGTATTTGTAAAGAGGTTACCATATTGAAAAGCAGGTTCAATGAACTTTGCAATGATTTTACAGACCATGTGAGCTAAACTATGTACAACTCCAGCGGCGATGTCATATGATGCAGGTGCGTGTCCGGTATCCAGTTCCCGTTTTTGTTCACATCTAAAACCACCTGAAGACACGGTTGATTACAGTTGACTACACCTAATTATAGGTATGAGATCAGGTATGAATGATCGAGTTGTCAAGTGTCATGACATCGAGATTCATCACTCGGAGTTCCTGGAAAAAACACTTATTATAAAGGGTCAAAGAACTCCGTCCAATGTGACATGATAGCTTGGTAAAATACGCTCGATTCTCTGTCAATTTTGAAACTCGGCAGCCTTTTTGAAATTAAAAAAAAAAGAAATCAGCGGTAGACATTGTGCACAAGCTGACCCAATATTCCATCATTGTAAGCTCTTTGAATATTGAAAAAAATAGTGTTAAGTATTTCAGAAATGTGAAAACAATCAGAACTTGATAAGTGGTGTCCATTTTTAACGCTTAGACTTTACATAATTTTTCAGTCTGAACCTCATATCAAAATGCCGTCAAATAAAACTTGGGATCTCTTTTTCCTTGAAGGTGCAATCACAATTCTACAAGATTAATGGAAAATTTTACAAAACGATCTAGAAGACTTAAGCAAAGTATCACAAGACGATCATATGATTGTCATATGATAGTTATTAAAACGATCTAAAAGACTTTAGCAAAGTTTCACAAGACGATCATATGATCGTCATATGATTGTCATGTAATTGTTATTAATGTATTGGCCCACCTGGGCCCTACATTCAAGACAGCCTTGAATATCTATGACAGTGGACAGTGTTATTGTGGGAAGAAGCGAAGCGACCATAACCATCTATTGTCATGTGGGCCATGGGAAGTAAGAACCTTGGCCCATTTTTTAAGCACAGGCAAAGAAACTGGGTTGGAGAATCATTTAGAAAACGAGCAAGTGATAGCTTGCTTTTCTAGTTACTACACTGCCGATGTACATATCAGTAAATTACTAACTAAAATTGTACATAGCCAACTTTGCCTCTGTTACGATTTTTTTAAAAGTAGTAGTCAGTCGGCGTTTGAGTTATTAAAACTTTAGATAGATAAATTCAGGACGAAAACTACTTGTTAAAGAGGTCCTTGGACTAGATAAGCGACCAATCCTGTTGTTTTTGACAAGTGTTTGTCTTTTTTCTGTGACAGAAAACTATGGTATAAAATCTTTCAAGGTTTCCTATAGGATAATTCTGTAGATGATATAAGTCCGTAAACCATAGCTAAGGCGTTGGTTCTTCAGAAGATTTGTATAGATTCTCTTTTCTGCTGGTCAGCAGATTCAAACGTTGCCGTGTTTGTTCTCTGGCATGGTTGTGGGAAGCTGAGTGACAACCGGTAAAGAAGGGTAATGTAGATACAAAATGCCTCATTATTTTGGCATATATCACTTAATCGTCATATTAGATCGACATTTAGTGTATAAGTGGGACACCCGTCCAGGCTGTGCTATGACCCTACCATCGCAAACCAGAGAGAGCAAACTGAGGGCTGGCCTCCATAGCATGCCAAAATCTGGGGGTCTTCAAGGTCTTTGGGATCTTTTATGTGCTATTTTCTGATTGCATATAGAACCGGGCTAATCAGAACACAGCCGAAGACCACCAAACCCCCAGTTCTATAAGCCTGCTACGGAGGCTAACTGAGGGCGTTCTTCGGACATACGTGCAGGCAAAATGCAGATGCCTCGTTACGGACATGCTGTTTTAAAATTTTGTTGTTGGTTGGTTAACGTTCTGTCGTAGCCTTTTTAAAGACTTTATCCACTACGCCATATACTAAAACCTTATTACGAATGTGACTGAGCGCTCGACAGAGATTTCAATGTTGGGAAAAGAATGAAAACAATGCTGACGTTTCAAGAAATCGGTAAATTCACTAGACTAAGTCCGTACAATTGTCTGTTTCGTTGTAGTCACATTTCACATGCATCTTAACTTCTATATTCCATAAAACATAGTTTCTTTCTCTCTTTTATCAGTAGCAAACAAATTCCCAAGAAGGTTTTCAAGAGGTTTGTCTCTGTTGGGCAAACTACCACCAGGCCGACTGTATGGAAAAGTAGGTCAGAAGAGGCCGATGTTTTTATATATTCTTCGTCCTTGACAGTATAATTGTGATGATTCTCGAAAATTAAAGGAAAGTTTGACAGAACAATCTAGCAGATTTATTGTAAGTATCACAAGAATATCATATGACTGAAGATCACATGAATACCATATGATAGTAAATAAGGCCAATTGTATGGAAAAAGTAGGGCAGGATCGGCCGATGTTTTTTTACATTATTCGTTATTATTATGATTTTCAAAGATTAAAGGAAAGTCTGACAAAACAATCTAGATATGGTATCACAAGACAATCATAGGACTAAAGATCTCAAGACGATCATATGACTGAATATCACATGAAGATCATGTGATCGTAATTAAAAGTACATTCAAAACAAAATAATTAAGTCATAGATCCTCCCACTTTTGGGCTGAAAGTGTATAAAAAGGCGGGCCCGGCACCGTACCACACTCTGCGAAGAGAACTCCCTCCAGAGATCTTCGAATTCTCAGACGACTTCTGACTTCACCTCGACTTAACTGCAACTCGGAGCAATCATGGTACGACTTTAAGAACTTTGCCTGTTTTTTAGAACTTTTCATGTAAACCTGTACATGTTCAACTTGTATGTACCTCTATTCCCGTCTGATTTCAAATGGTTTGGGATATTTTCGCCGGTGCATTTATCAGTTGAAAGCTTGCAGTTCGCCACAATGATGGTACGACTTAAAAAAAAAAAAACTTTGCTTGTATTTTAGAACTATTTAAACCTGTACATGTTCACCCTGTACTTTTGTTACCGCTTTTAATCCATTGACAGTTTTGGATATTTTTTCGCCGGTGCATTTGCCAGTTGAAAGCAAGTTTGCAGTTCGGTAAACTAATCATATGGCTTTTAAAACTTTGGCAGTGTTTTAGAACTTCCCGTGTAAACCTAGTCATTTCACATTGTACCTTTGTAGTTATGGACATTTTTCGCCGGTACTTTTTGCAATCAAAAGCCTGCTACAGAAGTAAATCGTGAGTGCACAGTTTGGCAAAATTTCTGGCGGATTTAACGCCCCTTAGAATCGACGTGGAGACACGGATTTTTGTATGGAAGTGGCGAAAATTGTCTAAATGTTTCTAAAGCGAGCAATTAGACTTGTTTGATAGTAGGCTGTAGGCCTATTTGACAAATATCTTACCGCAGTAAGCAGTTGCGCCTATCTCGATGCAATGAAATTTTGTTGCAATGAAATTAATTGTAACAATGTTGCACGGTTTTGTTACAGTCTCTGCCAACCACTCACGATTGCCACATCTTCGGAACCATCAACGGACACGCCTTCGACATGGTGGGAGGCGGCAGCGGCAACCCCAAGGATGTAAGTGCAGCTTTTCTTTTCGTATTTGACTCAAATTTCACTCCAATTCGATTCTGTTCGTATCGAAAGGTGGCCTGGGGTCGTGGGGTCGTGTGGTCGTATGGCGTAATGGCAGAGTGCTTGACTCGGAACCAAGAGGTCCCGGGTTCGAGTCCTGACATGCCACCGATCTTGTGCCCTTGCGAAAGGCACTTAACACGACTTTTCTCACTTAACTCAGCTTAGAAATGAATACTGTCTGTCCTGTATGTGTTCTATGTGTGGGACACAACATGTAAGACCAGTACTAACGGAGCGTCTCTAACTTGTGCCCGAACCGTGCAGGGATCGCTGCAGACCACCGTGAGGTCTACCAAAGGTCCTCTGCCCTTCTCCGGCGTGATCCTGGGGCCGAACCTGGGGTACGGCTACCACCAGTACCTCCCCTTCCCCAGCGGGATGTCTCCCTACCAAAACGCCATCAAGAACGGAGGGTGCGTAGTACCATTTTTGTTCTTATCCTTTTTTTCCAGCCGATTCAAATGCATTCATATAGGGCACGTTTTACGATGTTTTAAATACTTTTATTGTGCATTTCTAATATACATATTTAAAATGCCTCTGCTCAGTGCAAAGCAGAAAGGAAGTGCAAAGGAACTAAAACTGTCTCCAAACTCCCTCCTGCAGGTATGAGAAGCACCGCACGTTCCAGTTCGAGGACGGCGGCGTGATGAGCATCAACTTCCGCTACAGCTACGAGGGCAACAAGATCAAGGGAGAGTTCCACGTGAGTCTGAACTTTCCGAATCCTTAAAGATTTTAGAACTTTATCTTATTCAAATGGGAGTCCAACACCCACATAATGGCAAACTTAAAAGTATGTGACTTAACGTAAACGCAGAGAAAAGCGAGGAGTAAATACGTATTTGTGGTATCTGTAAAATTTCAGAACGGTTAGCCATAGTGGTCTTGTATGGTTTAGAGTTCGGCAGTTCCCAATGTTGTGCCACTTGTAAAAAGTACATATTACCATAATATATATACCTATTTCCTTACACGACTAAGGTAAAAGTAAGTACCTAGCTTCGATTAGGCACGTCCTCTCGAATAGGACGTAAAGCTGGAGGTCCTGTGTTTGAGGAGAACCACACCTTGAGTATGTTAAAGATCCCACCGCACAGTAAAGTCTTATCGAAAAGAAGTCCTTCCCGGTTTGAGTGGATAAAACTTTACAGTCTGATCTTACACAGCTTGGCTATACAAAACTGGGGCACGTGCGTTATGCCTAAAGGCGGTTAACCAATCATGTTGAACAAAACAAAACATTCGCCCTGTCTTTATTGTCTTTCTGACAGATCCCTGAAGGCTTGTCTTCCATGACATGCAGACATATGGCATGGTTCATCGACCCTTTAGCGCCCCAGGTTACCTGGTCAATCCAGTCTATCGTGGTTGCGGCGGATTTTCTTCGGGGCTGCAAAAGCTTAGCCTCCATAGCATGCCAAAAACTGGGGGTTTGGGGGGTCTTCAGGGTCTTTGGGAGCTGTTATGTGCTATTTTCTGATTGCATATAGAAAACATAGCCGGCCTGGATGATTGATTGATCGATGTTGCAGGTTGTGGGTTCCGGGTTCCCTGATGACGGCCCTGTGATGACCAACTCTCTGCAGGCTCACGACAATAACGTCGAGCGTCTGCAAGTTCTTGGCGACAGGACCATCGGCAGCGACAACGTCTGGACTTACACGTGAGGGGCTTCAAACTTTATTCAACATTGATCAGCTTGGAGTCGTGTGGTGCAACGGCAGAGTGCTCGACTCGGAACCAAGAGGTCCCGGGTTCGAGTCTTGACATGCCACCGATCTTGTGTCCTTGGGTTAGGCACATTATATGACTTTCCCCAATTAAATCCATTGAAAATGAGTATTGTCTGTCCAGTATTTGTTTCTATGTGTGGGACACAACACCAGCAACAGCCGCCTTTGTCCCACATGTATTGCACTGTTCCAGTTTCAATATATCAAATCAAATCAAACATTGATCAACTTGGCAGAAGCATATACATGTAATACTTTTGAATTACGTTGACTTTACAGCTCATTATCACTAAACGCACAGGGCAAGTACAATGCACAGAGGTACAAAGTTAAAGATGTCTCTTCTATTTTCCCTGCCACCACAGCGGGAAGGGCAAAGGCGGCACCTACAAGGCCAACGTGATGACCAACGCTACCTTCGCCCAAAACCTGCAGCCAGGCCTGGAGGCCATCATGCCGCTCTTCGTCTTCCGCAAGTACGAGTTTTTTTAAATTTATTTTTTATCCAAACAGTAAGAAAATGAATGCATACGAGATGGCGACAAACCCATAAGTTCCTTAAATACGTCGATGAAGGTTAGACATCCAGGTAATAAGACACGCCAACAAGTAGTCACTCATACTCAAGCAACTGGATATGATTTTGGAAACGGTTAGACATTTCAGCTAGTATTCACTACCTTTCGTCAGTGACTGAGAGACCAAAGGAGAGGTTCCTTGAACTTATATTATCGCCGCCATCTGCACAATGTAATTTAACAGAGCTATGATGATTACATGGGCAAATAGATAAATATACAATATTGAAACAAAGGAATTGAGGTGTAGTAAATATAACCTTGTGTTATATTTGTGTTGTATAGGGTTGACATCGAGGCCTCGAAGACGGAGATCACCCTGGTGGAACGCGAGAAAGTTTTCTCTGATCTCTGCCAGTAAGCAGCAGCTAGCCTCTGGTTCAGCCCGATTTAGGCATTCACGATTCTAAAACAGGGTTGGTCTAGCAAATTCTAGGGTGGCATAAGACAGTATCAAATTGGCCAGGTAGTATCCATTGGCCAGAGAGGGTCCAATACTTCCTGGCCAATTTGATACTGTCTTATGCCACCCTAAGATCAACCATAAGGCAGCATCAAATTGGCCAGGCAAGATCCATTGGCCGGAGGAGCCAATTTGATACTGTCTTATGCCAGCCTGGGATCTGCTTGGAGATTAGGTCTGTCATTTTCAACATAAGAAGTCAAATGGAAGTGCCTAAACGCTCAACTGTTGGCATGCCGTACCCAGTGTTTGTCAAGGAATGACAGATGCAGCAAAGGCAAAATCCCTTGACAAAAACTGGAGTTGTGCAGTCGAACATTTGGGAAAGTTCATTCTTCTGAAGACATTCACACAGAAAGTTGTTCTGATTCTGTTCTGTGAAGCCGTGGATTGCTCGAGTTGGGTAAACCATCGAGCGCTTCTTTGCAGTTTGGATCAAAACTGCATCGCAATTTTTTTAAATGGTGAATAGAGGTGTTTTATTTCCTATATGTTCTTTTCTGGGTTGTTCGCCGATTAAAAACAATCAACTCAATCAAAGTTTACTGTGTCGAAACATCTAAATATATGGCAAGTAACTAGATGCATTTACTACTTAAGAAAAGTCGACTTTTCAATAACAACCACTGTGACAACATCTAAAGTATGTCTCCATTTTTTAAGACTTGAATCCTTTATCAGGGCACCTGTACTTCATATATTCGGAATAAAGGCTTTGGGTATACTTGATTTCATTGTTGACTTGTGTTTTTTTTTTCTATCATTGTGTGGAAATGACTGATACTAGTAAATATACTATTCCACGTCACATAATGCTGAGATATTTGTGTCCCTCAGGGAAGAAATATTTTTTTAGTGTAAGAACAACAAGAATGCAAGAAATGTCAGTTTTGGTAGAGTATCACGATGTTTGTCCCTCTGTGTGCCTGTAATGCAGTTATTTAGTGTTCTGTCAGAGGGCGCTTTAGTACAGTATATGCTTGCTGTGTGGACTGGCCAGAGTACATCAGGACCCTAGAAGCTTGATGACCAACACCTCTAGGTCAGGGCATTTGGGAACATATTAATCCTATTGGTTTGTCCCTGAGAGCGAGAGACTGTGTAACATAAACTAATGTTTGATGATAAAACGTAGTATTAGGGCTCAAACGCTTTCTTTAAGTCGACAATGGCGTTTTTACAACTACAAATATATAATACTAAAGGGAAACAGTGCATGTTTCACGGTGCTTTCTCGGTAGCTTGCCCGGTAAACTTGTACTTGTAAAACGCAGTATTTGTGTTCAAAAGCTTTCGTTAAGTCTACAATGGCGTTTTTACATTTTTTAATTACCACTGAGTTTTTACATTACTACTAAGTGTTACTGTTAGTACGTTGTGTATTTATTGTAGTAGACTGTTTATGTTTTGCTTTATTTGATGACACTGATACACCGTGTTTGCTTAATATCCTCATGGGAGTAACAACGCTTGTATACGTCTATCAGAGGGTGTTTGTCCTTCTGTGTGCCTGCACTGCAGTTATTTAATGTTCTGTCAGAGGGCGCTTTATTACAGTATATGTTTGCTGTGTGGACTGGCCTGAGTATATGAGAACCCTATTAGGTTGATGGCTAACACTTCTTAGTCAAGACAATTGGGAACATATTAATCCTATTTTTTTATGTATATGTGCTAACATTTGACTTATGCAAATGTTTTAACATTTTTGCATCAATTATTGTCAATCTGAGAACTGTATGTTACCATAGTATTGAGGCGGCGATAACTGGTTTCTATAGTGACAGAGAATCTGAAGCGTCGGTGAAGGTTAGACATCCAGGTAATACGATACGCCAAAAAGCAGTTACTCAAGCAACTGGATATGCTTTTGGAAACGGTTCACTAACTTTCGTCAGTGACTAAAGCTAGTGGATACTACATGTAGCTGAAACGTCTAACCGGCCAAAATCTGAAGCTTGACGTACTTAGCTTACCACTGCAGAACATATTATTCGATTTAAGCGATTGATGCCATAAATAAATCATGTAAAAGTCATGTATTTCCTCCTGGTAAAAAAATGCCCAAATCTGCCTGCTGGAAAGTGACTAAAAATTCCTTAACATGGATAATTTTGCGTCATATTTTCAGCATTTCCCCTTAACCAAGGAGAGCATTGTCTTAAACCAGTAAAAAAGCAATGCCTGTTCTCCCCTCTTAAAGTTCCCAAATGGTATAGTCCAAAAAAATTAGGCCCCTCTCGCCTTGAACCTTGGGTTACTGTCGGGCATAAAAACAGGTCAACGACCGAGCAGCAGTTTAAGAAGTGTACACAGATAGTGGGGGCGATAAAGGGCCGTTCTGGTTGTGCAAAAACTGCTATCTGAAAAGCATTTAGGGTGACACGTTTCTAAACGGTCTGAATAACGGTTGACAAAATAAAGGTCTAAATTTCATAATTTTCATGATTGAATGTAACGTTAGTTTCAAATGTGCGGACTCGAGCTCCTTCTTTTAAGTTGTTGCAAGGGTTGCCCTTTGTAAAAAAAAAGCTACCTAACGAATACAAAATTGAATAACCCTAAATCTATTATTCTTTTACTAACTTGTATCAAATCATATCATATCATCAGCATTAATTTCTAAATCATATCCCCCCCCCGCTCCCTTTATTGGAATGTTCCACAACAAAGCCCTACACTTAAACAGTAACGGGTTACCCGCGGGCACGGAACCAGCTCAATAACCTCACGGTTTCGGCCAATGTAAAGCAGTTTTCCGTTTCTTGAGAAGTGTAAACTGTTACTCCTAAACAATAACAGATTGTTTAAGGCACATGTGTATGAATACCACCTCGTGTTCTTGTACAACCATTGACAGTGCACTGACAGCAAATGAATGCAGTGACTAGGTTTTGTTCTCGTCGTTACCATATATATATATATCTTTTTATGCCACATTTATTTGAAATGTGGCATAAAATGAAATTTATTTGAAATTTATCGGAAATTTGCCAGCAAACATGTTGTATATAATATGAAGGACTACGGAGTTTTTCAGACCAACCTACATATGGCTATTCATGTTTAACATACGGTACGTACTTTATTCGGGAAATTACGGGTAATACCTGTTGGGGAGGCCCATGGAAAAATTTTTGAGATTTGGGGGAGGGCCATGGAAAAATTTTTGACCGGACTTCCAGCGCACCAGCCCTCCCCCCGGTAAATACCGTACAGTTCCTTATGGATATCATTGACCTATTTATGTCATAATATCGTTGTTGTCTACAAATAATTATTGCTGCTACTGTTTTATATTGTTTTTAAATGCTAGACCATGCATGATTTGACTGTGCCTTCCCTGATTGATTAACAAGTGCAATGTCAAGTTAAGTTCACGAGAAGAGAGTTATGGTTTAGAAAACGCCCGGAGTATCATATTTTCTTCCCCGTTTCTTCCCACGTGAGGCCGATACCATGTTTTGATTTTATGATTATGGCTATAGATTTATGATTATACATTTTATAATAATACACCATTAAATGATTATACCGAGTTAGATAAATTTTAGAGAAAAAGTCTACCTCAACTGAGAAGAGAGCTATAACTTTAAAACCGCCCACGGTATCATATTTTTCTCCCCGTTTCTTCCCACGTGAGGCCGATATGCCCTAGTTTCCCTGCGCATATTTAAACGCCGTGCCAGGGACGGGGGGGCCACACAATACCCTCGTCAAGCCATATACATGATCCTGCCAAATACATGACTGACACTACTTGGGGGTTTCCAATATACCTGAGACAAGGGGTGGGAGGGGTTTAGTCGTGATGTGGGGAAACTAAACCTAAACTAACCCCATCGTAAGTCTAACCCTAGCTCTAAACATTGATCTCAACTCGAACCCTAACTCTAGCCCTAACCCTAACCATCCCTATCCCTAACCCTAACACTAATACCATCCCTAACCCTAACATAAATACCAACCCCAACCCTAACCCTAGCCCTAAACACCTGACCTCTCACGTATGTGGCAGCTCAAGGATTTGGCTCACCGTCATGGCCTAGTTTCTCCGCGCATATTTAAACGCCGTGCCAGACACCCAGGGGCCACACAATACGGTAAGGGGATCAGGGAACACACACAGAAGCACACACACACACCAGATCGGTAGGACCATGTGGCAGGCAGCGGGCAAATTCTCCGGGAATATCGTCAGAAGAAGGCTCTCTCGAACCACAAGACGTGAGTGTTAATGTTTTTTTAAATAATTGTACTCCTGTAGTAGCCTCCATAGGATGCCAAAAACTGGGTTTTTTTGGGGGTCTTCATGGTCTTTGGGAGCTTTTATGAGCTATTTTCTGATTGCATATAGACAATATATCCGGCCTGGTTGAATTACCCCCTTTTTAGAACTGGGCTAAGCATCAGAACTTGAACAGCCAAGACCACCAAACCCCCAGTTCTATAAGCCTGCTACGGAGGCTAATCAGAAAACAGCCGAAGACCACCAAACCCCCAGTTCTATAAGCCTGCTACGGAGGCTAATCAGAAAACAGCCGAAGACCACCAAACCCCCAGTTCTATAAGCCTGCTACGGAGGCTAATCAGAAAACAGCCGAAGACCACCAAACCCCCAGTTCTATAAGCCTGCTACGGAGGCTACGTCTGTATCTGTTATGGTAATGTTGTTCGTTGTTGATACTGTGTAATTTCGAGTATTCAACACCTTACTTTGAAGTACCTATAAAATAGTGTATATAATAGATTCGTTTCTTGTTTTTTTTTATGATATTATATGAACAGATGGTGTAAACCACAAGTCAAGGTTATCGGTATTATATGTGGTTATATACGAGTGAAGTGGATAACCAAGAACTAAATTAATCAGAAAAAAACATTTATTATCTCCAATCTGATTTCATGAACAATATTTGAGATGAATTTGTTTATTTGATAAAATTTGCCACGTAATTGTTTACGAATGTTTGAAGAAAAAGTAGGTTGTTGACGCTGTCTGGTTTAAAAGTAGGCCAACCACAGTCGGGGGTCTGCTATTTTGGTCAAAAAGTCAAAGTGTATAAGGACAATATACCCTATGGCATAGCAATCTAGTCAGAGTCGATGCAATAATTTACACATGCTGGTGAGTGATTGTTCAAGTATAATTGTAGATTTAAAAGTAGCCTCCTGTGTAGGCTCTCAATCGGCTGGGCTTTTTGACCCAGCGTATCCGAGAGAATCGAGAGAAGGTTCCGTGGGCGGAATGGAACCTTCTCTTGGCGGCTGGTTGTAGGATAACGCGTTACAAACTCTTCAAAACGCTGTATCGAAATTTCCACCCGCCCCGGAGCCTGTAGCCTCGCTGGAAAAATACTAGAAATTGGCCGAAATAAAAATCGCGAATTGGATCTTCTCTGGCCGACTACCTCCCCTGGTATATTATTCCTTTATTGGTTACACAGCTGGGTAGGCGGTCTGGAGCAGTGGCCACCAGACATAAGTTGGGGTCATAAATTATCACCTCCTGTGCAGACGTCTATAAATAGCGGTACAGCGTTTGTTTTTCTAGCGGCAAGGGCAGAGGTTTCGTCTCGGGGGAAGGGTCTTTTTCGAAGAGAGACCAGGGGAGCCAGAGTATTTTACGGAATACAGTGCAATCGTATTTGTTTACAGTGCAATTTTACTAGTTTTAAAATTTCACTAGTAATTTTACTAGTAAAATTCACTAGTAAGTTTACTAGTAAAATTGCACTGGTAATTTTAGTAGTAAAATTGCACTAGTAATTTTACTAGTAAAATTGCACTAGTAATTTTACTAGTAAAATTGTACATGTAATTTTACTAGTAAAATTGCACTGTATACTTGTAAAATGAGTGAAAATGATTATTGTATTGTCCCCTGAGTTGGTGATGGCATTAATATAAGTTGAAAACAAAACTTGAGTGCGCCGTCACCACGTCTTGTGATTACATGTTGGAATATATATTTAAAAAAAATCATTATTTTGTTGAAAAAACTTGAGTGTGCCGTCACCACGTCTTGGGATTACATGTTGGAATATATTTTTAAAAAATCATTATCTTGCTAACACAGGCTTCGTATCTTGTTAGAACGGCTGATTTGTGTATTATTTGCCCAATTTAGACAATCTACCCTTGTGCAAACTGTGAACACAAACAGTCGACTAATCTGATGCATGCTGGAATAACTACGAAGTAATCGACAAATCGGTAAATAAGCAAATCTGTATCTTGCTAAAACAGGCTAGTGGACTAATCTCCAAGCAGATCTTTTGGTGGGGGGAAGACAGTATCAAATTGGCCAGCCTGTGTGCATATATTACGGTGAGGAAATGCATACAGACTGGCCAATTTGATACTGTCTTCCCCCCACCGAAAGATCTGCTTGGAGGTTATAGTGGACAGCTGATGTACGTAATATTTGCCCGATTTAGACAATCTACTGGTCAAACTGTGAACGCAAACAGGAGACTAGTCCGATGCAGGCCAGAATAACATACGAAGTAATAGGCAAATCAGCATAGAAGCAAGTCTGTATCTTGCTAAAACAGGCTAGTGGACAGCTGATTTACGTACTATTTGTCCGATTTAGACAATCTACCCTTGTTCAAACTGTGAACACAAACAGTCCGGTGTGTGCCGGACTAACATACGGAGTAAACAAAGCGCTATTGTCTACTGTTATGACGGGAGTGGGTCAATGTACGCAGGTAACACTCGGCTCAGGTGTCAGGTCTAGACACAACTCGACCTAATTTTCATTTTAGCAAGAACGCAAGGAGCTATATATTGTTCATAATCTGTATGAGGGCCTGCAAAGGGGGGGGGGGGGTAGTGATTACGATTTACGCAAAAATTTCGCCGCCTAGTACGAATTACGTTAAAGTCTCAGAGCTGATTACGACTTAACTTTTTGCGGCTAATGTCCAATTACGTATTACGTTGACTTTTTTTGCGGAGGCTGCCTACGAATTATGAAGTCTAAAACGGCCTGATTACGCCTTACGAAAAAGGGCTTGCAGGCCCTCCTGTATCTGTATAGCCGGTATGACCGCCCTTCGGCGTAACACACCAGCTTCGCAGGCGGCAGCTAGCTACATAACATTATAACCTTTTCCAAATAAAATTATAAAAATGCACGTGACAAATATTATAACATTTTCCAAGTTCAGAATAACGCACAAAACTACCCGTAGGTTTTTGTGATGCATAATAGTCAACAAAGGGTCTAAACATCCGTGTGTACTCAATATCTAGGCCAGCAGTGAACGCACGTGTGGGAACACCCGCGGTCTAGTCTTAACAAGTAGGGCGATTTTAAAAACATGCACATGTTGTGCACTACCATTCACCAAATATTGGAAAGCAAAATGTAGTTATATCTGTCGCTATACTGTCGGAACTGAAATCAGTATGCACGAGTATGCAGTCATGTGAAACATGTACAAGTAAATGCGACATCGTTAGAATTTAAGTTGAAGTTTTGACCTCCAATTTCTTGACCTTCTTGTCAGTCTGTGGTTACATCATTTCCCCCCTCACCTTCTGTGAGTCTAGCGTATTAATGTAACGGCGAACATACAGGCAAACAATCACGCACACACACACATGCACACACACACAAACACACAAACACACACAGAAAACACTTCGTGCACAAAGCAGTAACAATTTCAACCACTAATCGTACGTTTGCCCCGTCTTTCCCCGTGTCACCTTGAACTGACAGCTTTGATTAATGGTAATTCCTCAACTAAAACCAGACAGGGGAGCCACCTAACCCCTAAATAAACCCGAAAATAGGTCACCAGTCGTCCTCTTTTTGTCAAAAGCCAGACAGAGCTGGACTAATACATTTCTGAAGACATTAGAGGGAGGGGCAGGGTAGAGTTTTTAAAAATTTTAAACGGTTGTATTCAACAAGGACATAATATATAGTGTCAAACGCTATGTAATGCCCCTGTACCCATGCATTATATAATGTTCTTGTATTCACCACTCGTAAATTATAAAGCCTCTCTTTCTGCATAATTAAAAGGCATAATAGTAGCGTTAATGTCTAAAACTGCTTCCTTATATCAAACATAAAGGATATTTGTTTTGAAAAGCCCATTGTAATTTCGCAGTCCGTTTCCAATAGGCCTTTATTATCGAACAAACTAGGGCGAATAATCAAGGGCGACATACAATACACATAGCAATCAGCATGAGCAGGAAAGCAGGCGATTTTCTGTCCCAAATTGGATTTCATTAACCTTAATGACACTGAGTACCCGTCTGGCTACCACATTTTAATTGGTTTCGGGGTTGGACAGCAGGGAGAAGGTTACAGTAATTGGTACATATGATAGCCATGGGTCTCTGACGTCACAAGCTGCCAGGGTTAGTCCGTTGTTATAATCAGGGTTGGTCTATTGTTATAATACAGGGGTGCCCGTGACTCTAGCCTTGTCTTTAGTTTTGTAGCACTTGCTTTAGACGTCCCCTAGTAGTAAATGGACTATCTATTGAACGCTAGACGCCGGCGCGTGATGCAATGACGCATTACGTTATAGGGTTAATGGTTTGGGGTGAAGACAAATATAGCACAGGGCACTCCGAACATTTAGTGACGCAAGGTCGGTATTGCGTAACGTCTAGCTTTGTCTCAGTGTGTGCCCGATGTTCTGTTTTGTGAGGAGGTAGAATTGCGGACATAATGCTTCCCTACGATTTAGCAATACCATCACTAGTAAAAAAACTTCTTATGTTTGAATTATTTGGGGATTCTGTATGATGACGCATTTAACAGGTATGGCGTTAAAATCAAGTAGCTTTTTAATGCATTTTCAATTAAAAGTAGGGTAATCTCGAATACGTTTGGTGGGCAATTAAAATTTAAAATGTGCATTTAATATAAATTTTAGAAGGATTATTAATAGGCAAAAACGTGATTAATTTCTGTTTATAATAATTATTAGTTTTTTCTTTCTTGGGGATTTTTTGCAAATTGGATAGAAAATATAATGTGGGCAACAAATATGAAAATTTGACATACTAAATCTGAAATTTGTATTTAAAATATCTTGATTTTTCATTGTAAAAGTGGCCGCGATAATATAAGCTGTGCCTAACTTGAGTTCGCAGTCACTTTGTCCTTGCATTTGTATTTTTTACTGTTTTTTTTAAATAAAAAATTCCGAATTCAAATCGCCCTCCTTCACCCTCCTCCCCAGTCAGAATTCCCCACGTCATACTGTTGACTTGCCGAGCCATTTCCCCTTATAACGTTACACGGCGACCTTTGGAGCACAACCGGCGGCCAACTGTACAACCATTTCAAACATTCGGGAGGACCCACTATAAAATTCAGGGGTGTGTACATACAAAACCCCAAACAGTTCAAGACATAACTTACACACTTGTGCCAAATTGTACTAATCTGTAATAGTTTCTATGACTTCTTTAAATCCGTTGCTTAAAAAATACACTTATAGTGCGTAAAAGGCACATAAAGTTTACTAAAACATGAAGTCACCCCTCTTATAGAAGAGATTCTGAATAGTTTCTCCCAAAGGGTCATTCCGTTACCCGATAATGAAAGCAGTGGCGAAGGCGCAATAAGGAACAGAATATAGGTCAGTTTGTTAACATCGTATCTATTGCCTGACTACAACAGCGATTGTTTGCTTTAGCTAGACACGGGCAAATAGCAGGTCTGTTTGTGTTGGGATAAGGTTGTAATAGTGTTGTGCACCTATTGTCTGGCTCTAGTAGCGTTATGGTGTAATATAAAAGGGAAACGTATGTGAGAATGGTTTTCTACCATACTTATATACATTGTAGTGTGGTGACTCATTTTTATGTATCGGCTACGTTGCGTATGTCATATTACGTATACGCAGTTATGACGTTCGGTTGTGTCCTGATTTTATGTCATGATTTGCCCATATAGCAATATGTCTAGCCTGTACCAGGCTTCAAAGCGGCTGGAAAGAGTAGAAATTGACCAAATAGACAGATAACATGCCGGGGGAGTTAGTCCTCTAAATTAGTAGTGTATTAAAACGGAAAACGTACTCCTTTCGCAGACTAACTCCCATGGCATGTTATCTCTCTATTTGGTGAATTTCCTCTATTTTCAGCCGCCTCTGAAGCCTGGTAGAGGCTACAAGATATCAACTGTTGATGTTTACCCTAGTTTTTAGGACCAAGTTCTCATTATTACAGTCGATTCAGATTCCCTACATTTTTTCTCTATTCGGGACATAGCAAACACTATAGCGGTGATACTAATGGCAAGGTTGCCCCCCTCCCCTTCTTGCACTGAAAATCAACAAAATTCTATGTCAAGGTCAAAATGGGAACCTGTGCAGTGACCTACGTATTCAGCAATTAACATCGGTCTATTTGGATAGCTGCTGGCAAGTGTAAGGATTCATAGCGCCACCTGGCGATTTAGTGGCGAACTGTGTCAATTTCCTCACTCCGCCCCAAGCATTGTCAAGAGATATTCTTAGTAATTACTAGCTCTACCGATTACGGAAGTGTTGATCTACAAGCTGATCTCTGATCTGTTTGTTGTTTCTGTTTATTTTTTGTAACAGTGTTTTCTACCATCTACAAGCTCGCAACTCACCAGAAACCCAACACAAGATCAATACAAACATCGTAAGTACGGAAACAACTTTTTCCTTCCATCTTTGCTTTTGGAACTTTTGATTTACAGATCCTAATGTTTTGAATCGCAAACGGCATTAGATTCTTCACAAATATTCCCATGGTCATATAACATACATGTACTGCACCACATTTGTAACAGTACCATATTTTTCGCATTAAAACAGCAAAGAAACAAGCCCCAAGACGGTGGCACCCGAAAAATAAAATCAGACCCGGGTTCTAACAGTAGCCGTTTTCCTTTACAATTTTCAGAATTTTGGTCCATGAATGTGGATATACATTGAGGTAGTGTTGTTTCAACTTAGTATGTAGGTTGCTGACTAGAATATTGAATTTGTAAAATCTGTTTTTCAAACCCTAAAAAATGAATAGGGCACCTTTAAAAGCTTTAATGAATGAATGAATGAATGAATGAATGAATGAAAGACCTTTATATATTGTACATTTTTGCTCATTCGAACTAAGTACATGGTAAATAGCGATGGTAGACTAAAATATATCTATCATAAAACTACATATTATGTACAGGTTCTGTTTCTTCTCGCTTCTTAAAACAGTTGTAAATGTAAGAACAGATGGAGCGTGTAATACGAGGGTTATCTAGTTTCATGAGGTATGTGAATTTTTCTAAAATTCTAAAACTACTTTGTTGTCTATCCCGCCGCACAGACCAGCCAACTCGGCCCCGATCGGCAGGAGACCGGCTGCAGACATGGGAGCCAATCAGAGCAGAGCGATGTACGCCGCGTCGTTCGCAGTGGCGGGGGCGGGGCTTCTCTACGTAAGTCACTCATTCATAAAAATTCATTCATTCATAAAATTTTATTAAGTCATGGAATTTCATTCATTCATAAAATCTCATTACTTCATGGAATTCCATTCATTCATAAAATTCATTCATCAAATTTCATCCGTTCATCAAATTTCATTCATTCATCAAAATTCATTCATTTATGAAATGCTATTCAATCATAACATTTTTATTTAGTCTGGACGTTATATGTAACAGGTTTTTAAATTTCTTTCTATATTATATGGCACGAGGCATACTACTGCCTTTAGTGTATGTATCAAAATCATGCATGTGCAAAAAAATGCATTCACGTGATTCCAGCATTACGCAATGTATTGTCGGCCATATTGTTCGGTTAAACACACGAGTCAATTACGGATGAGCTGTCGCCATCTCGGATCTGTTTACTCCTTTTAACATGGCGGCTGTTGATAGACTTACATTGTTGCATGGCAACGGTAAAAATGTGGCATAATGTTAGGATAAGCCGCTAAAATGTTACAAAGCTTTCGCATGTATTATGCACAGCGCTCGAGTGGTAGAGCTGCAATTATGGCTACATCCACTAGAGGGCTCTTCAGCTGGAGTTGGATTAAGGTGAGCATTGGTTGGACATTTTCCGTGTTTCCATGGGTGTGGGTTTGCAAGACTTCAACTTTTACTTTATTTCTATAATAAAAAAAGTTCATCCAGACTCCATTCAATTTTCAACAACCTATCTCTTTGCCATACTACCATCTTGTATACCCTAATTTCAAGCACCACAACCATATTTGTGAATCATGTATCCCGTTTTTTCTTCTCTCAGCCCTCAAAGAGGCTAGTCTTGTTGGCAGTCTTGCAAACCACTCCCATTCTGTGAAACACGGTGCCTTTACCAATGCTCACTTGAATACTTCTCTTTGTATTTTACAATCATTATAGCGCACTACAAGTAATGTTTGGTCGATTTTACAAACATTTTATTTGGTTTAAACTGACGGTGATTTTTGTTTCTACTCCAGATTTTCAAAGATACACTGACAGGAGGACTCAACGCTTCCTCAAGAAAGAATGGAAAAGCTGGTACAGTTTTTAACGCTTGTTATAGTTACTACTTAAACTGTTGAATTTTCTAACATAAGCTGTGCCTGTCCTTGGTGCTGAACGTGTTATCTATCATTCGGGTAGGGTAGATGTCTTCTGCATAACATTCTTTTACATAGCGACATTTAAAAAAATGGATGTATCTGTTCTTGGCACTGAAAGTGTTATCTACCACTCAGTATTTTAAGTTAAGGATTTATTTCCGCGACGGGGGCCGACATCGTCTACCAGATACCTTTGACCCAGTGTTGACGTTACACTTCAAAGAAGCCACGTGACAAGCTTCACTGTGTCAGTCTACCGAGGAAGACCAGAGAGACTGGTCAAAAGCTCTAGGTGAATTTTTCGTGTTAGAACAAAAGTTTTAACTGTAAACATCTCCTCTATTTGTCTATTCAGAACCGGTGGCGCCACCAGTTGAGAAGGCAAAGGCGCCAAAACCAGTTGCCGAGGCAGTGGTGGAGAAACCGGCGGCACCGGAGGTTGTAGCGGAGGTTTTGGAGGTTGCGAAGCCAGCTGCAGAGGTTGTGCCAGTGGCAGAGGTAAGGGAACTATATAGCTTGATACATACTGCATTGAAAATGAAATCTTTAAACCTGTTATGACATGTTCCTCAAACCTATTAGTACATTGTCGACAACAACTTTACTGGACTGGTGCTAATTTAATACCGCACCTCATTTTAACGTCGAGACTACGTTTTGTAGGCCACTGTTGGAGAAAAAAGAATGAGATAGTACACAAACTCTTACTGTGGAACCCGAGTCATGGACATAGAAAAGACTACTTTTCTACTAAGATCACAAAGCCCACTAATTATACAGAATGTGAGACTATTCATTATCCACTGCCTTCAAAGAAGAAGTCGAGCCCCTTCATAGCTAGCGCAGTAGTAGAAGTAGAAGTTTTTCCAGACAGTTGTTACCTGTCTCCTGTTACTGTATTGTAATGAGTATTATACTTGATGGTACGAGCAATTAGCCTTCGGGCATGATTTTGCAAATAAAGTTTCATATATATATCAACTGCCTGCTGCGATGGAGGATAGAGAGAGATGGAAGCAGACAGTCATGAAGAGACTCCGAGTGAGCTCAACGCAGTGAGCTCGGGATACTTCGTCTTACTCTTAACCGCCGTGTTTCTTCTTTCAGGCCGTCGTTTTAGAGGAGGTTGCTGCAGTAGCCGCCGACGTTGCAGCCGCTGCCCCGGAAGCAGTTCCAGAGGTCGCCGCCGCCCCGGAAGCAGTTCCCGAGGTCATCGCCGAGACTGCAGTTCCGGTAAAGCAGGAGGTTGCAGCTGAGGTTGGTTGGTTGCTTCGCCCAGCCGAAGAATCGGTTGCACGGATGCTAAGGAAAGACGATAGGGTTAGTTATCGAAAAGACAACCCAGTACAGACGCTCCACTACCCTTGCATGTTAGTAAGCCACATGTTTTCCTTTTCATGCTTCCTTTTGCCAACATAAAAGTCATTAATTTGACTTTATAGATAGCTACGAATCCTCTTTTTAAAGGATGCTATAATAAAAGATGATAGTGATAGTTTTTGAAAAGACTGCCCAGTCCAAAACCCCCACTACCCGTGAATCAACAAATTTTCTCGGATCGCCCTTATTTCATGCCTCCTTCAATACTATGTACCTTAGTGTCTTAGTACTACATGGAAATCATGAATTAGACTTCCTAGTTAGCTGTAGCTAAGGAATGCCGCTGCTTAAAAATATATTACTAGTATATCTCCGCTAGTCAGGCCACTAAAAGTAGTATACCATGTCTACTGGTCACCTAGGCAGCCAGAGTTTGTGTCTAGTCTAGAGTTTTAATATCTGACCAGAAGCGCATTAAGGGTGGTCACTGCTGATGCATACTGGTCCATGCATTTCTGTAGGTAGCGGAAGTGGTGGAGGCAGCACCGGAAGTAGCAGTGGAAGCTCCCGCACCAGTTGTAGAGGTACGTACGGTGTCGGCAGCTTCTTTCTTTGCCTGCATGTTCTATTTAGTAAGGTGCAATCAGGCCTTCTTAGTCTTCGTAATCCGTAGGCAGCCGCTCAATGCAAAGTCACCGTAATTTCAAACTCCCATTCACACATTAGCAAAAAAAAACCATCGATGATTTATAAGAGGCAGCAAATTATCCAGGTATCATCTACTAAGTACATTTAGGCCGTAGGTCAAGTAATACATACTTGTTGTATCTGCATTCTTCCATAGGCCGCCGTGGAAGAGGTTGCAGTGGTTGTTGAGGAGGTAGCTGCTGCCCCGGAAGCAGTTCCAGAGGTCGTGGCAGAGGAAGTGGCTGCTGCCCCGGAAGCAGTTCAAGAGGTTACAGTGGAAGTGGCTGCTGCTCCGGAAGCAGTTCAAGAGGTTACAGTGGAAGTGGCTGCTGCCCTGGAAGCAGTTGAAGAGGTTGTAACAGAGGCTGCCCCGGAAGCAGTTCCAGAGATCAAGGAGGAAGTGGCTGCTGCCCCGGAAGCAGTTCAAGAGGTCGTTACAGAGGCTGCTCCGGAAGCAGTTACAGAGGTTACAGTGGAAGTTGCTGCTGCCCCGGAAGCAGTTACAGAGGTCGTGACAGAAGCTGCTCCGGAAGCAGTTACAGAGGTCACAGATGAAGTAGCTGCTGCTCCGGAAGTAGTTAAAGAGGTCGTTGCAGAAGTTGCAGAGGCCGTGGAGGTGAGTTTATATTTGTCTTTTTCAAGTGATGTTGTTTCATGTAAATTTTCCTGTTTATTGCATAACATTGTGTTACAAAGTAAACCTATTACTTTGTTGAATTTGTAGTCAACTCGACCATACGAATTAGTTGTATATGAAAAAATTAAGGTATGAAGATGTCTAAAAATACATTGGTATTTGTAAATGACTTTTGTGTATGTGTTGTTTATGAACAGATCGCTGTAGCTGAACCCGAACCTACAGCGGTGGTGGAAGAAACCCCTGCAGCAGCCGAAGACACGCCAGCTGCAGTGGCTGCAGAAGAACCAATCCCTGCAGAGGAACCAGTCGCTGCAGTCGAAGACACGCCAGTCGTCGCAGCAACAGGGCCATTTACTGTGACAACAGAATTCGCTGAGGTTCCTGAACCACCCCTAGACGCAACGCACTGCCTGGTTACAGCCGAAAGCAGCACACCAGTCGTCGCAGAAACAGAGGCAGTCGCTGCAGAAATTCCTGCAGCTGAAGAATCACCTGCAGAAGCAACGCAGCCTGCAGCAGCTGCAGTCGATGTTCCCGCCGAAAACGGCGTGCCCGAAGAAGCACCCCCTACCGACGAAATCCTCCCCGACAAAAAGGCAGCCCTAGCGGATGCAGTACCGTCGAAGGCCACAGAGGGCGCTGCCGCCTCATGAGAAGCTCTACCTACCACGTTTGATGTAGAAAAAAAGAACTCGTTGTAATTCATTCTTGTACAATTTGGTTAGAAATCACACATTTTATGTCTAGATACGCTATGCAATGAGCTGAAAAGATTTGGATATTTCAAGTCGTGATTTTTGAGCCACATACATGTATTTCTAGGTGCATTGATTCATATCAAAGGTACGTAACCAGAACATTTACTAGTAATTGACAAATGTAGACTTTTGCTATAAGATGTACACATATCAAAGTTACGTTTACACTATATACTATCAATAATTAGATTATATTCATGATTTGAAGGATTTTTTGGGATTTCTATGTGTCATACGAAATACAACACATTGGGCTATAGAATATTTTAATCATCACAAGTGTGCCAATAAAAAGGGAAGAATTAACGAAACTTGCAGCCGTGTATGTGTAGATATACTGTCAGGTGATTCTTTAAAAAATAACCAACAGTTTTTATCAGATTTTACAATTTCATCATTAGTTCTATTTTTAGCACCATGCCGCGCATGGGGGCTGTGAAAGGGGTTAGCGGTGATCACACATGGGACTCTGGAAGGGGGTATGGAAAGAGAAATTGGGAGGGGCAGTCCTATTGCATCTTCTGTTTTTTTTGTTTGTCTTTTTAATCAACAAATGGAGGGAATAAATTGAACACCACTACTGGGTAACACTTCACAATGAAAGACGTAGCATTGTATTCACAAGGTATATCTGGAGGTGACAGAATGACTGCTGATTCAGATGTCTTTTATGAAATAAAAAAAAGTTGTCAGTTTCTGCTGTATCACTAATTAAAGTATCAAAAGGTTATTATGTATATAAACAAAAGTCAAGGTCGTAAAATACAGTTGACGATGTTCTCATTTCCGCTGACACAAAAGATTTCTTTGAGCAGATTTCAGAAATGTGACCGCCAAAACCGCGACCTGTGCCGAATATAGATCTATTCTCCATCCAGCTTCACACAGCTTCCTCGACGCTGATTGGCTAAGAAGGACAAACACAGCGCCCTTAAGGTTACTCCGTGTAACTATTCACAATTTTTTTCCAAACGTTTTCATCATCTTTTATATTTCCTTTGCTTGGAGATTGGGCAAAACAAAATTTGCGAAACGAAAAAAGTGTCTGTGTGTGTGGGGGGGGGGTCAAAAAAGCGGACAGTCTTCAACATCTGTTTTCAGATTAGTTTATCACAATGGTGCGTTTAAAAAGCTACGTGACCCAATCCCCGACCACTAGTGCAGTACTTCATAATTCTAGCTACATGTACCTGTACTTAAACATTAACATATCTGGGAGCTGTTTTTGAAGCGCAAGTTGTACTTAGAAGTCATTTTTTTCTATTCCAACATTTGTAACAAAACATTACGACGGCACAATCAAGTTTTTCAACTTATTTCATGCCGCCACCAACGCAGACAAACGCAATTGGACACGAACAGACATACTCATTTTCACCCGAGCTAAGTGAGGAAATTCGTGTAAAGTGCCAACGGCACAAGACCGGTGGCAAGGCAGGATTCAAACTCGGGACCTCTTGGTTCCGAGCCGAACGTTCTGTTATTGCGCCACATGACCCCACGTAGCCATACTTGAATAGAGAACCTAGTTTTTTCAGGGACAACTAAATTTGGACGGTTTCTTTCCACAGCGCGTTGTTATTGCTACGTGTCCCAAACCACGAACACTTGTGCCGTGCTTAATTCTAGTTCACTGCATCCAAACATTAGGATTACCCACACGTGCTCCCGAATCAATATGTTCTGTATACGCAGATCCGATACCAAAGGATTTCCCTCAATGTTTCCGAGAAAGTCCTTAACAATAGTGATGGTAACAGCTGGTGCGTTTAGTCAATAGACTTGTGCAAGACTGACTCACAAAAGATGCTACCCTTTCTAGAAGCATCCACTTTCAGTATTACAAAAGAGGTACTGAATTCATACAATACGGAAAATACTACTTTTGATATGCCCCTGTTTACGTTCGTAGCACGAGTTTTATTTTTCATTTTTTTGTGTGATCGTTATATTTTGTGAAATTGATTTTAGCCATTGGATATCTACAGGAAGATGGGCTATTCCACAATCTCACAACCCCTGTCAAAAGTGGATCCGTCCACTGTAATCTGAAAAGTCAACGTAGAATTATTTAATACAGCTCATTTGTCAAACTGACAGATTCAGACCTCAGTTGGAAGAAATAGTGGGACAAACAACACTAACCATGGGAGTCGGTAGCGGTTAGGGAAAGCGTCGTCTGCAAAAAGGACTACGGACAAAACTACAACTACGTAAGTGTACTTGTTTAACAGTTAACTGTTTATTCATAAAAATCAGCCTCGCAGCCTGTACAAAAAATTACGATTTTTTTCAGTTACTTTAATGTCTGGCAGATACAAAATTTGCCAGACAAAATTGTTAAAACGTTTCGTTTCTAGATAGTTAAACGTATGTTGTAGACTAGGACTCAGTAGCCACTTACATGTTTTTAGTAGCGTTAAAGAAGTTTAGACAGTCAGCAGAATAAGAACTGAAATCAAGAAGTTTTAACGACAGCGAACGTGAAATATTTGTGGGGAAGGGACAGCGTTACCTAACTTACTTTTGCTAGATAGTAAGGCGTACGTTTTAGACTAGGATTCAGCAACCACGTCCATTGTATAGTTGGAGAGGCAGGCAAAGAACAACTTTAATTACAACTAGCTGGCTGCCAGGAAATATTTCAAGGCTGAGAAAGCCTGACAGGACGCAGTTGAAAATAAGCCATTTTTTGTAAGGTAGTCAACAAGTGTGGATTGTTTTGCAGACATGTTGCTTTGTGTTAATTTCAGACAAGGACATACCGCGCCATTTTTAGCAAAAAAAAGAGAGATCGATTGTATAACCGTAGCGTTCAATGCTATTACCAAGGTCGCTTGTTACCCAACAACTAAACTAGCTAACGGAAAAATACCACCCAAAAAGACACTTTGAAGGGATAACTTTCTTCACAATCATATGACGAGTGTAATTTGCCAAAATTGTCACCAACGGACTTGATTCAAAATATTGCACAGGAAAACTTTGAACGAGAAAAAAGTCAGTATTGATTGTTTTGATACAACATTCCTGTTCATGTCAGTTCCTTGTTAACTAACACAAAACAACAGACTTAACATTTGTTGCAACAATTTACGTTCAAAGTCACGACTTCATCCATTGTGCTATATCCTTATTTGACATCGAAAAATCTATTTCAAAAGCCTGACCAAGAAAAAAAAAGAACCTCCACGACCCAAAATGGCGGCCGCGGTCACCTTGGTGTTGACCGTTCTCGTCTCGGCGCCTCTCGCGAGATCTCAGTTCGTGACGGAGGATTTCTCGCACACGGGGATCTGTGGAGGGCCCAGACCGCTCTGCCGCTGTACCGAGCCGCTTAAGGACCACTTCTTCGTGGACTGCCACGGCAAGGGACTGAGCAGCATACCTGAAGACATACCGGAGAAAACACTGGTCCTGTGAGTATTGCTGGATCTTTCAGTGTGTGTGTGTGTGTGTGTGTGTGTGTGTGTACTACATGTGTGTGTGTGTGTACTACATGTGTGTGTGTGTGTGTGTGTGTGTGTGTGTACTACATGTGTGTGTGTGTGTGTGTGTGTGCGCGCGCGCGCGCGTGTGTGTGTGTCTGTAAGTCTGTAGTTTTTTTTAGTACATTAGGAAGTCAGGAAGGTCATCAATGAAGCGATTAATACAAAGATTACCTCATTTTCTTTCTTCACTTCACTTCCACGTACGGAAATATGATTTGACCAACCAAGCCACGACCGATTTTTTTGGAAGGTGCAAACCGTCCAACTTCTTCCCTAGTTTCATAAAATAAAGCAGGTTTCCTCGCTTATTCGTTAGCAATAGATATTGTGAACGTTAACAATAAGGATGGAAACGTGCTTCACCACGTGAGGGCGAAACTTTGCCTTTTTGTGTTTATTTTTAACGACTCTTTTTTCTTTTTTCTCATCTCTAGGCGGCTAAGTTGGAACAACATCGTTAAGATTCCAGCTGGCGCGTTCCAGCGACTCAAATCCCTCAACGTGCTGTGAGTTAGAGTTATTTCCGTCTTTTTACGTTGCGGTCAGCATTTTAGCTCGGCTTAAAATCGTTTGAAAAGGATCTAAAGAGTCACGTTGACAAACAGTGGACATCTTTTAGCTGACCTGCAATAGTTCGGTCCGTACCACTTTGTATACATGCCTCATAGCCTTCACTTATTAATATAAGAAATTGTGCGGCCCTGTACCTATCTGTCCGTACCACTTTGTATACCTGCGTCATAGCCCTATTATATTGTGTTGTGCCGCCCTGTAACTATTTTTCCAACAAAAAAGTGTATGATTGGTGTGTCACGCGAAATCTAGTTATCATAGATAACTATATGTGATGTTTAGTAAGTAAATTGATCATACACTTATCTACATTAGTAACTTGTTTACATGCACCTCTCAGACATCTCCAAATGAACGCCATAGAGGATATAGAAGAAGGAGCATTTGTAGGGTTGACTCACCTACGGGAACTGTAAGTACTATTACACCACATTCCTCATACGACATTAATCAGTTACTTCTCATTTATCGAGCCTCAAAAAAGTTTCCTGTGTTTTGTATTGCTTAACATAAAAATGCACAGGACACAGCGGAAGACAACTCCAGAGGCTATTATATTAGCCTTACCACAGAAAGAGAGAAAATATAACTGACAGAAATTAAATACAAGTTCTATAACGAATAACATTACATCTCGAGGGTTGGACATTTTAAGATGCATATAAGTCAACGTGTAAAACTAGATTAATGTATATTCTAAAATTGAATGGTTTTAAACGTAGGCAAATTTAGTGAAGTGTAAATCTTGTTGCGTTGCGTCGATGTTTCACGATGTTTCAATTTTTTTATGTTAAACTTTTTATTAATGATATCTACAGGGATCTTCACTCAAACGTTCTGACGAACATCAAGGCCAGGACCTTCCGTCCGCTCATGTCATTGGCCAGGCTGTGAGTTACCGTTATATTTGAATTTTGTTGATAACTATGCCATTGGCCAGGCTGTGAGTTACCGTTATATTTGAATTTTGAAATGTTGCTAATAATCATGCAATTTGTCAAGCTATGAGATACTACTATATTCAACAGTCATTCAAAACTTTACCGTTTTAAGGTTCTAAATGGCTCTTTATGTGAACAAAGCATGTAACAATACTTGCCAGAGCTAAAGGTTAACTGGTAAAGGTCTGTATTGATATTGATAGATTTTTGGTTCTACTCTTACGATTAAAACATAACTTACAGTGTACATAATGTTGTAAGTCCATTTTTATCTGACTCGTTTGCTATTTCTTAGGGATTTGAGTCACAACATCATCAGCAACATTCAAGACGACGCCTTCAGGAATCTCAACAGGATGAGAAGCCTGTAAGTTCACCAATATTTGAATTGAACATGTGATTGTTATTCACTTAAAATAAACTGTATTTCATGTTAATACTTTAGAGTTACAACTTTAGATCCAACACAAAAAGTTCTCTCACCTAAACCTTTCGACCAGTCACTCTGGTCTTCCTCAGTAGACTGACCCAGTGAGGCTTGCCATGTGGCTTCTTTGAAGTGTGACGTCAACACTGGGTCAAAGGTATCTGGTAGACGATGTCGGCCCCCGCGGTTCAGTGTATTTGTGTATTTCCATTTTTCTCAGTGTGCTGAACGGGAACCACTTCTTCTGCGACTGCGAGCTGCTGTGGCTGCGGAAGTGGCTGTTGTGGAAGCGCCACACTGTGGACATTACCGGCGCTGCATGCAGCATGCCCGAGACCTTCAAGGGGAAGATGATCTCTGAGACGGAAGGACGCCTCTTCATCTGCCCCGGTTTGTCTTTTTATGCTTACCGAAGAAAGATATATTGTTTTTGCTCAGTTTCCTCTTCTTCCTCTTCTTTTTTTTCATGTTTATCGAAGGAAAACATATTGTTTTTGCTCTGTTTCCTCTTCTTCTTCAAACAAATAAGGTCAGTGACCTGATGAACCAGACATTTGTTACCATGGTATTGGTATAGGTATAGTGGGACTTACAAAACACATTCAGACACTCACCCACATAGACAGGCAGAGAAGCCCAAAATCATACTATGGCTTCAATATCTTTGGGCGAAGAGAAAAGCTTTAAAGTAAGACAAAAAAGTTGCTTAACAAGGACTCATAATACCAAACCAATGATACATTATAAATCTACTTGTTTTACATTAAGCAAAACATATCCTCATATATGAAAAGGCAACGCATTACACATACTGACAAGCATCTAACAATGCATTTGATCACAGCTGTTAATGCCTGCGATAAGCAAAATCAACACGAATCAATGATCAAAAGATAAGACAGCAAAAGCCAAATCAATCGCAAAGGTTAGCCAGGCTTTTCATACAGTAAAACCTGTAACAGCTGATATTAGTACTTACGTTAATCAACTGACGCTGCGGGCCTGAAAAAAGATTGACTTTTACAAGATCCGATCAAATTCTAGAAGCCCCTTTTTTGTGTAGTTCCCAAGCTGTCTACTTGTTTTACATTCACCAATACATATCCTCATACATGAAAATACAACGCATTACTAGGGCATACTGACAAGCATCTAACAATACATATGATCGCAGCTGTTAATGCCTTAATGCCAAAATGAACACGAATCAATGATTAAAAGATAAGACAGGAAAAGCCGAATCAATCGCAAAGGTGTGTCAGGCTTTTCATATAGTAAAACCTGTAACAGCTGATATTAGCGCTTACGTTACTGCAGTGAATCTGCAGACCTGACAAAGAATGATTTTTTTAATCCGATCAAATTCTCGAGTTTCCGTTTGTTTAGTTCCCAAGCTGTTGCCTACAGTCAATATGAGGATGCTATTAACCTTAAAACAAACACGAGGCACCAAAATCCAAAACCGGCTGTATCCTGTTACTGCTAGAGCGCATTGTTTTCATGATTACTCATTACGTACATGAAAAGAAAGATCAATATTGGCATAAAAGCCGCAGCGGAAATTTTTGCAAACCCTTTCTTCAAAACCTACCAGATTGCATCCGGAGAGAAAGATTAAACAGGAAGCGAATTTAGATCAAAAGCAAAGGGAAAAATCCGACGACAGCTGCTTCCCCTTACATTAAGAAATCTTCTTGGCATGATTGTTCGTTGCATTAATATATGGATTGAAAATATAATCTTCAAGCAGATATTTCAACAGAGCTTTTAAAATATATTGATAGACAAGGCAGTATGCATGAAATATAGGCTACCGAGGATCTATTGCGCCGGCTGGCAAGAAAATAGCACATAGAAAACGATCATAGGTCATTGTGATAAAGAATTTTTAAGTACATGTACTATAATGATAGAATAACTATATTGCATGACACTTGTACATGGTACAACGTACTTGGCAACAGCTATATGTTGAACATAGATGATATATGGGTGGTGTATCTTAGACTGAATGAAAGTACAGATGGAGCTTAAAATGAAATTAAACTAAAGCATCATGATAGTTAAAACAAAGTAATTGAAACTCAAACGCACGACCGAAACGTTTAAGCACAGAAAGCTAATTATAAAGCATAAAGCAATATGTTCATGTTATACCCCTAGAGCGAGTGTGTGGCCACCTTGGTCCGTTTGTTGGTGCTGAGAAGCTCCGCCATGTTCTCTGCCAGCTTAACTCCTGAAAATTGTATGTAGATTACAGGAAATGGTCTTAAAGACCACGAAACCTCCGAAATTCATTCTGGATGTCTCTTTTTTTTACCCTAGAGCGAGTTTGTGGCCACCTGGGCCCATTCGTCGGCGCTGAGAAACTTCGCCATGTCCACTACCGGGATATAGTGACGGTGTACTACCAGTGCATCGAGGGGCACGAGCTGGTTTCGGGGGACCTGGAGCAGAGCTGCGACTTTAACAACCCCTACTGGACGGGACAGAGCCCGGTCTGCAGTGGTAAGGGCTCGGTCGTACGTCTGTCGTACGTTTATCGTATGTTTGTCCTATGTTTGCCCGAAATGTGCCCGAAATGAAATCTGCAGAATTCTGGAATATGAAGCCAGAAATCTGCAAAATTCTGGAACTGAAGCCAGAATTCTAGAACCAAAGCCAGAATTCTGCAGAATTCTGAAACTGAAGCAAGAATTCTGCAGAATTGAGTTAACCCCTAAGGGGTCCTCGATAGCTGCTACGTATTTCTTACATCATTTTTACCTGTATAGTTAACGACATTAGCCCATCTAGATGTGAGGTTGCTGAGATATGGGAAGTAGTCCGGAATTAAACTGGAAGTCCGAAATTAATCTGCACGCTGTTAATGTTAACCTGTGCGCCATTACAGCTCAAAACTGCGGAGACCCTGGTCGCGGCATCTACGCTGAGCGGCATGGCGACAGCTACACCTACCTGTCCGAGGTGCGCTATGAATGCTGGGAAGGGTACTACCTGGTGGCGGGCGATCTGCGCAGGCGCTGTTCCCTTGACGACCAGAACGGCGTTCTGAAGTGGGAAGGGTCTCCACCTATCTGTTTACGTGAGTAAAATGGCTTCATTGCCATTGTTATTATGTTTACCGAAGGAAAACATATTGCTTTTGCTCAGTTTCTTCCTCTTCTTCCTCTCCAAACAGTGACCCCTGACCTGACCGATGACATGATTTGTTGACGTCTGTCATCATGGTGACTGGTGTTGGGTTGCATTATGTTGCAATATTATGGTCTGCTCTGCTCCTGCCATCATATACTAGTAGTACATGTATGTGAATGTGTTTGAGTAAGAATTAACAGAGCAGACAATATCTCTATATAATGTCCGTGGTTATTGTTTTAGTGGAAACAGACACGGAAGCCACTCCAACAGAACAAGCCACGGAAGGATCGGGTTACAATTCCAACCCTGTGCATGACCACGAAGATGAGGAAGAGTCCATTATGAAGGAGGTAGGGGCCATTCTCAGCCACATCAACGAATCCTCCGCAGTAACCGACCCCCCTACGGAAGAATCGGATCTTCCCATCACAGAACCGCCTATGCCTGTTCTATCACCCGAAGAGGAAGAAACTTTACGCCTTCTCCGACAACACAGTCCTACCGCTACGGAGCACGACATTGTTGAAGAGGAAGAACAAGAGAAAGATCCTGTTCTTTCCGGAGGTGCACTATCTGCTGTAGAGAGAGCCATAGACGTCTACGACGCGCACGTCAAAGAACACGAGAGACATGAAGAAGAGGAACTTCTTAAGGCGCGAGAAGAAATCTACAACAACGAAGAACAAGAAGAAGTTGAGGAAGGGGAAGTTCAAATTGAAGCAGAGAAGGTAGAACTTCCAGGAGATAACATCATAGCAGAGACTGGTTTGGAGCTGCCGGACGAAGTGCTGAGGGTTTTCCAGGAGCACCAACATGGGGAGAGCGAAGAGGTGGCGGAAAACGGCGTGTTTGAGGGCAGGAACAGGATTTCAGACGAAGATGTGATGAGGATGCTGAGAGAACTGGCTGACGTTGATGCTGCAACTGGTGAGAGATGTTTTAATGCATTTACACGTGCATGTATGTATGTAGGAAATATCTGCTGTGTTGGAGACATCAATTGCTTGTAATACTTTAAGAGTAAGGAATGGTAAAAGCGGTAGGAATCGTTTAAGATTTTGTAGTGACAGGTATGTTTGAAATTATCAAAGAAAAAGAACTTTATTGACATAAAAAAGTACAGCGACTTTCGTAAGACGTACAAAGCATTTAAGAAATTGTAATAGTAGTAATGAAACAATATTAAAAGTAAATATAAACAATAAGAAGAAGTTAAATAAAAAGGACCTTAATCCTTCCCCTTCAATCTTTAAGACAACATCCTGGCCCTTCTTGGAGCTCTCGAGGAACTCGCAGAGAAAGAGGCTGACCTTGACGCAGAGCAGCTTGACCTTGCCACCGCCATCTTGGAAAGGATCGTGAAGCTTGATGGGATTGACGCAGAGATTGCTGGGAGACTCGTCAAGGTCATCAGTTACCTGACGGGACTGACCTTGGAGAACATGGTGGAAGCGGAGACTCGGTTCAAAGCTTGTTCAAGGTCAGTAGGAAGAGTCTTATTTTTCCTTAGAACTTGCTGTAAGACCCAATTTCTGGATCTTAAAGGTTAGGAACCGTCGGCATTAAAAGGATAGCCAAAAATGATTTGTCATTTAGATTAAAAAAAGATTACCCCCCCCCGGAAAAAAGCTACTGAAAGCTTACCCAGCGGTCCTAAGATGAAATAAATAAATTGGTAAACCCTTGACATACTAAAAGACCTTAGCTTTGAGGGTATGTTAAACACATGGATTTCCAACGTTCCCCCAAGAGTATTATCTATGTGCGGTTTCATTAAATGGACTCTTAATTCGTAAAAAATTCTTTTTTTTTCACTTCCCAGGATTGTTAAGAGTGTGGATGCCATGAACATACAAGTCGAGTCCACCGCACCTGACGAAATGTTCGAGTCCAAATACCTCGCCACCGGACTGGTCAATCTGGGGCAGTCGTTCGACGGGATGTCATTCGCAGACTATGGAGACGGGCAGGTATGTGACGTGTATATATTCTCCTTTTATGGCGACGCCTCAGGCGGAGCCTAATGGTGCAGTTTTTTTGTGTGCAGTTTGCAAGAATTCTAGGAATTGTACAGGAATTGTATCCACAGGCATGGAATGTCCACAGGACTATCTCACAGCTCTGTAATTTTGCTGACACACATGTATGCCCACATCCAAACTTAGTGAAATTCCTGGGCTCGTTCACTATACACTTAGGGGAGGGTAAGAGTGATCTATTGAACTGTCCTGTATCTGTCAAGACTTAACAGGTAACCAGGTACATGTATACTGCCAGTGATGCACATAGGATATTAGACGTTATGTTAATGATATACATAATGTACAATTACCAGTGTTAAGTTGCAATGGAGCTGATGACTATCGATGTTTATTCGTATACTGCTGCTGCCTCACAGGTCCAACTGTACCAGGAAGACGGAATCTCCCCGGACAGGCACAGCTCCTACATCCGGCTGCCGCCCAGCCTGCTGACCGGAACAGATGTCCACAATGTCAGTCGGGTGCACTTTGCCGTCTACAGGGAGTCTAACATCTTCAAGGTACTGTCTTCTATTTATCCATTCATTTCATTAAAAACAGCTGGGTAGCCCATTCAGCTTATATAAGCTGCTCTCCGATGGAGCCCAGTGATAATGGCATATGATTAGACAAAATCCATCATTGGTTGCTAGTATTTTTTAATAACTATGTGTTGGCTGTTTCTATATTAGGCTATGCAGAAGGCGTCACCGCACGTGCATCATTCACCAATCATAGAGTCCTACGTCACAAGCGTCAGGGATATCGACCAGGTTCTACGCGGTGACGTCATTTCCGCTTCTGTCGGCAACCTCCATCTCAGCGACCTCCCTGACCCGGCGAAAATCGTGTTCTATCACGAAGAGGATTCTGTAAGTGACGATATTGTTGGAAGTTGTCAAGAAGTGCTTATGATTACACTTTTACCTTACGCCTGTGTGTGTGCATGTGTGTGTGTGTGTGTGTGTATGTGTTTGTGAGTGTGTGTGTGTATGTCTGTGCGTGATTGTATGTGTGTAATTGTACGTGAATGGGTATGGGTAAAGAGAACAAAGTTTACCATATTTATACCCTTTTACCAACACAGTGCTGTGAGGTGTATAAAGCGTTTTGTAATATGTAATTTTGGATTTCTATTTCTGTTTTAGCTCATTGGTGACCGTGAATGTGTCTACTGGGATTTTCAGCTCAACGGTAAATTCCACACTTTTCTGAAATTTCTATCATCATCTTCTAGTCGAAAAAAATATATACATATATGACGACTATGCTGTGACAAAGAATCAACTAGAAATTGGTTACCAAATATCTATCTTATCTTCGATACAAAGTTTCACAGCTGTAACATTGGTGCGTTGGTACTTTTCAGATCAGAAAGGCGGTTGGTCGTCTGAGGGTTGTACTGTGTACCACGCTGCTGACACACACACAGTCTGCCACTGTAACCATCTCACCAACTTTGCTCTGCTCATGGTAGGTTCAACTTCTGCTTTTTTACATGCTATTGTTTTGCCCTTTTGTCTACATGCTTTTGTTTATATTGCTTATTTGCTACATGCTGTTTTGTTACTTGTTGTTTTGTTTTTATTTACCATAATATGATTGTACGTACCTTTCTTTGTCAGTAGTAGTAGGGCTAAGGTTAGGAACCTGCCAGAGTTGCTCACTGCTGTGGCCTGTAAGTTTCTATGTTTCCCAAAAAAACAAAACAAAAAAATGGCTGCTTACCTATCAAAAACTTTTTTGCTTTCGAGAGTACAAAGTCTTTTTATTGTTTGCAGGATGTTTACGGCTCCACGGCAAAGCTGAGCGCAGAGAACCAAAAGGCGCTGTCCATCATCTCAATGATCGGATGTGCCGTGTCGTCTGCAGGCTTGCTCTTCGCTCTGATCACCTTCCTGCTTTTCAGGTTAGCTTATAGCTCTGTGTATGTGTGTGTGTGTGTGTGTGTGTGTGTGTGTGTGTGTGTGTGTGTGTGTGTGTGTGTGTGTGTGTGTGTATGTGTGCGTGTGTGTGTGTGTTTGGGTGTACGTGTGTGTGTGTGTCTGTGTATGTGTACGTGTGTCTGTGTTTGTGTGCGTGCGCGAGTGTTTGTGTGTGTGGTATCAGTGTCTCTCTATCAGTGTCAGGCTCTATAAATGTGCCTGCGTTTGTGTGGGTGTTCATTCATGTGTCCGTGTGTATTTTCACTGTACATGTATTTTCCGTATTTACTACTATTGCCCCTTATTCTACCGTTTTTTTACCCAGAACCCTCCGTCGGGACAACCCTACCAAGATCCTGATCAACCTGTGCGTGGCGCTTTTATTGGTGAACTTGACCTTCGTGACCTTGTCTCACCCGGAACAGTTTCATGCCGGCTTCATGTGTAAAACTCACGCCATGGTAAATATCCACTTTACACACCGTTTTAAAAAATATCCACTATTCATCTAAAACTATTTATCTTTCCTTCTATTGTTGTCGTGCCTAACTCCCGTATCAGTCTACATATTAGGCCAATTTCTGTATACCTCATTCCAAATCATCAATTGTATCGTAACTCATATTTTTTATCGATAGTAATTTGTAGTAATAATTGTAAGATTAATACTACACACACGTTGTATCATGTATAATTGTCGCACAATAAAGTTGACTCATTACCTCTAACGTTTGTCAGAAAATCTTGTCTTAAAACACCTAGCAAAGGGCATTCGACCCTAGCAACCGACCGCTGTGGTTCTAATGAAATGAAAACGATGGCAAGGTGAAAAAAGCTAAAGTCAACTCAAAGTTATCGGATATTTGAGCGTTAAAACTCCAGATTTAACATAATTCCTTTTTTTTTAATTTGTATATACATCTAAAAAGCTGGTGATTTGTAAGAAGGGTCAGTGTAATGTGTACCATATGATTTTATGAAGAAATAAATCAGTCAACATCATTATCAAACCTGTTACCTAGGTGATGCACTACGCGCTGTTGGCCGCCATTGCCTGGATGGGAATAGAGGCCGTGAACATGTACCTCGCGTTTGTCAAGGTTTTCGACACCTACTATACTAACTTTGTCATGAAGATTTGCGTGGCTGGCTGGGGTAGGATGGCTTTTCTTATTACATATTTTATATTCTGATCCAGTGTTACATAATCTCTTGCTCTCAGGGCTAGTAGAGCTAGAAAAATCTTGTGTTTCCTGCTTGCCGACGGCTCTAGAAAAAACTGCAGATCCTAGCCTTGTTTGACCCTGCAAGGGACATAAATTTTTAAGAGCTAATCAATCATTTCTAGCTTCATGATCAGGCACCTGAGCGATGAAACGTTGTAAAATTGGTTCTCCAACATTGACTTTGAACACAAAAAGTGTCCCCGTGTGTTTTTTTTTGTTTCATATTCTAAGGGAGTAAAATATTGTTCCTACTGTATGTGTGTTTAGGTGATTCTCAACTGGTACACACAGATACACATGCACACACACACATGCACACACACACACACACACACACACACACACACACACACACACACACACAGATATATACACACACACACACACACACACACACACACACACACACACACATACACTGTGGCCGCTGCTACGTTTTGTCTGTTGAAGTAGAAGGATCTCAAAGCACTGTGCATGTAGGAGTGGAGTCTACCGTTACTGGTTGCCTTCTTAACTTTGTTACCTACTTGTACCACAGGCACCCCTCTTGTGATCGTGGCGATAACCGCAGCTATCGACATCGATGTGTACGGCTATAAAGAGGGGATGTAAGTAACTTTCCATTGTCTCAGAAGTCTTCAGTCACTTGTAGACAATCCTACATGCGCTCGTCATTCTATCACCTTCTGTTAAAAAGTGCTGCAAACAATATTTCAAACAGTGCAAAAAATGTATTTTAAAACTTAGGGTTTTGAAAGGTAAAACTCCAATTCTCGTGAGACTAGGTCACTCCATAAACAAGATGTACAGTCGACATAAAAAATTGTGAGGTTTTTTTTTTTTGATTGATGAATTTTCTACTAACTGCACTACCAATGTTCTACATGCCCACAGTTGCTACCTGTCTGGTATCGCCTTCTACGCAGCGTTTGTGGCGCCTGTTTGTGTCGTGCTTCTCTTCAACACCACCATGTACGGGCTGGTGCTGCGCCATGTTGTACGCATGAGAGGAAAGGTAGCATCACATTCGCATACTTCATAATAAAGTGGTTTATTGTCAACTTGTCGACTGAAATTGTCCACAGTTTGCAGCCACATGAGTGGCTGAATTGATGTAAGGACATTACTGTAACAATGATATACAAGTAGTAGACGTTCGGAATTACAACTCACACAAATACACTTAAAAGCACACTGAAATAACGCATTGAAATAACAGTATTGATGATATAAAATAACATAGTATAAGATCTTGTTTAAAATTAGAAATTGCTTAAAATTCGGGTCGATTAAAAGTCAATATCAATTTCAGTTTCCAATATTATTTGGAACTAATGACCAAAAAAGGGAAGAAACACATATTCTTTGAGATTCACCAGTTTCAACATCTGGTACAACATCTATTTCATTCCAATATAGGCAAAGAAGATAAAATATGTAAGTCATCATACAAAAACGTCAATTCTCCACTTTCAGGTAAAAAAGAGTTGGCCACATGTAAAGTGGTCAAACTTGTCAAGTGCAATTACTGGTACTCAGTACCCTACCTTGAAGTCATCCGACGAACACACCGTGCTGCAAATATGTTTACATATGTCTACATGTCTACACCACAGGCAGAGAAGTCTGAATTGTCCGAGGTGGTGACCAAACTAAAGCGAGCTGCTGGCCTGTGTGTGCTGCTGGGGGTGACCTGGCTGTTCGCCATGCTGGCCATTGACAAGGCTGCAGCATTCTTCAGCTACGTCTTCGCCATCTGTAACTCGCTGCAAGGTACTGTTGCTTGTATTTTCGAGAATTTCTTTTTTTTCTGTTTTCTTTTAACAGGGTAAACGCACTCAGTGCTAAACGCATCGATTCTCATTTGAACACATTATCGTTGTAACCAAATTTATTTTAGTTGCAGAGTCCTACGTATACATCCTCTCCGCTAATAGATATAAACTATTCGCTGTAGGATATCAGTCAAGCCAGATAGGATGGCCCAATGCCTTATATTACGAAACAAATCAAATCAAATGTAAACAAAAAGCCCAAGTTTAAGTTCGTTGTTCTTGGGGCCTACCTTGGCATCGTGTCTTCGGCGCGCACGTGGATTAGAATTCCCTGTGTATGTATCCTTGCGTCCGTCTTTTTTGTTTTCCCACTGTCTTTCAGTTCTCCCTCTCTTTCTGTCAAGGTTTCATGTTTGGCTGCGCGCAAAAGGTTGGCCAATCAGCGGAGGCCACCTGTGGGCAGATCGGGTTACACGTATTCCCGCCACACCCATATTTGGACGCGCGCGAAATGTTCGCCAATCAGAGGAGGCCAACCGTGGTCAGAAATTCCCGCCATACGGGCGATAGTCCACTTTGTTTGTCCGGTGTGTTTCGATAGTCTGAAACTGTTCTACAGTTTGTTAAAAACTACTGCTCTGTTTATTGTTACTCATCATCATCATCATAGTCCTTTACATCCTGTCGGACGATCAGTTCAGAGTTTGTGGGCCCGGCGCGGTTTGCAGCTAACCCAGCCTTGATACGTCGATGAAGGTTAGACCCAGCCTTGCTTCTGCAGGGCTTGTTGCAGGTCACACATGTTAAGGCTGATTGCAAGCATTGTTCTTTGTGCTTATAAACCTGCATTTCCCCTCTGGTCTCTCAGTCACTGACGAAAGTTAGTGGATACTAGCTGAAACGTCTGACGTTTTCAACATGATATCCAGTTGCTTGAGTAACTGCTTTTTGGCGCTTTGTTCTTTCTTTTTCTGTCTTCTGGCATTGTCTTTGCTCTTTACTCAAACATATTTCTATAATATAAATGAGGAGAGACTCTAGCTCTGTCCTCCTGTAGTCAAAATGTTTATTTTTTTTCCTGCAGGCTTCTTCATCTTCGTGTTCCACTGCGTGTTGCGTAAGTCTGCCCGGAAGCGCTGGATGGCGCTGCTGCCCTGCTGGCCTGACGAACAGCGGGACTTCTCCCGGTACAGGAGCAGCGCAAACAGCCAGGTGTGTGCCTTTGTGTGTGTGTGTGTGTGTGTGTGTGTGTGTGTGTGTGTGTGTGTGTGTCTGTGTGTGTGTGTGTGTGTGTCCGTGTGCGTGCGTGTGTGTGTGCGCTTCCCTGCTGGCCGGACGAACAGCGGGACTTCTCCCGGTACAGGAGCAGCGCGAACAGCCAGGTATGTGTGTGTGTGTGTGTGTGTGTGTGTGTGTGTCTGTGTGTGTGTGTGCGTGTGTACATGTGTGTGTGGATGGCGCTGCTGCCCTGCTGGCCTGACGAACAGCGGGACTTCTCACGGTACAGGAGCAGCGCAAACAGCCAGGTGTGTGTGTGTGTGTGTAGCTGTATCTGTATCAGTATAGCCGGTATAACCGCCGTTCGGCGTAACACACCAGATTCGCAGGCACTCGGCGCGGTGGCAGCTGGCTATATCCCACCGAACGACTTGTTACACTCAGTCTTTGCACATGTAATTGCAGGGGTTGTTTAACGTTTTCTAGTGATGATGCCCCAACTGTGCACTCTACGAGTTCTGGGGAAATACGAGTTTTTGAACACCTCAATTCTTGGTTGATAGCTCTGATATTTGTATGCATGTATGTATGTACGTGTTTGTCTGTGTTTCTGTTTGATATTGTGAACGCATTAAATCTATAGATGTTTTATATTCTACCATCTGTCCACAGGGTAGCTACCAGCGAGCGGTTGCTCCCCGTGCCCAGCGCCCCGGCAGTGCCACGAGCGTCCGGCGGCTCTCTGCCCTGAGCGGCGGCCCGCGCGGCTCCCTTACCAGCGCCGGCACCCGGCCCTCCATCTGCAGCGGCGGTTCCAGGCCCTCTATCTGCAGTGCCGACGGAGGAGGAGACGAGATTAGGCGCGTGCCGAGAAAGTTCGTCTGCCTCAACAACGAGGAGAAACAACAAAACGACGGACAAGAATAACATACTACGTTGCACGATTACGTGATCAGGAATCGGCATGCAAAAGTCTAGGCTTCTCCATGACTTTCTAAAGGGGGTTGGCATAGCAAAATTCAGCAAAAAAAGGCCTTAACCAGGTGGGTTTGCGGCGAAAAAGAGAAACGAAAAACCGACGGACATGAATAACAATCAATTAGGATCAGGAATTGGGTGGGTTAGGACTTCTAACATGCGAATGTCTGGGCTTCTCTATGACTTTCTTAAGTGTTAATTAGGAGTGTAAAATTCAGCAACAATTAGGTCGTTTGCATGAACAACGAAGAGAAGGAGAAGCAACAAAACATCAGGCTATATGATGTGGAATTCGGTTGGGACTTGCATACCCGCACTAAGAAACAAGGATGCGCAGTTTTTTTGGCCTTCTCAGCCTCAAACTCACAGGAGCATGCATACTTCAAAGACTAGGTACAACCATACATTGATTTGCCTCTTGACAAGTTCTGATTCAATAAACACCGTGATGTTTGAAATCACCAACATTATACAGCTTTACTTATGATAAAAATAAGGTATAGTTAGGAATATATTTAAACAGATTTAATAATAATAAATGACGCTTAACAAACTTTAACGCAAATTAAGCATTATATCTTGTCATTAAATATCATTACTAACCTACGAAGTTGAGAGATTGAATAGGCATGTGTTTAATTTGCCTCAGCATATTTACCACGATAAACAGCACTAACTGCCCTACAGTTTAATAATAAATTATGTTAGTTGACTTAACTGTAACTACATGTATATTGTGATGGCCACCTTTTATAGTAGCTAAGTCTTACACAGCTTACATAGAGTGCACGTTTAGCAACACATGTCCAAACGATGTCACATTTACGGATATTTTGTCTTTATTATATCCATTAAATGATTATCAGCTTGCCAGAGTATGTCAATATGTTTCATCGATGTACAACAAGGGGTTAATACTGAACACATCACTTTTTCTGCATAACAGTGCCTGGTATTCATCTACAAAAAGTTAAGCTTTCCGCTTATTTTGCTTATGGTGACGTTATAGTTCGCATTTATGTTCTTGTGCGTGTTTTTTGGAATTACATGCAAAGACACATTAAACACAATGCAAAGATAAGTCTTATGTCTCAAAAATATTTCATATCACCTCTCCCCACATATAATTGCCTTATATTGTAAACGAGTATTCTAACCTTGTCAGGACATATGAATGCATTAGCTGTCAGTTGTAGCAAGCATACAAATTATATATATAATTACTGCAGTCCAAAAATACACTTTTGATCATCGCACACGCTTCGAGTGTTTGCATCATTTGTATCGCTATTTTTAGTGAAAATTATACAGCGCTTTCAAAAGCCTGCAAAGATGCAGCTAATGTAACGATTACGAATTATTATAATAGCCCAGTCCAAAAATAATTTCTTCTGTATGGACTGAAAAATAAGACTAAAGTTAGCATCATTCCTCGCTATTTTCAGTTAGAATTATGTGTGTTTTAGAAGGAATTAAGGCTCTCGCTTTGCTTCACCTGACGTCGTGATGGCAAAACATCGTAGCATAGTCCCAAAATAATAATACACTTTAATAATCGCGTTCTTACGCTACAAGTTCAATAGACTGGATAACACATTCACATCATAGGGCTCTGATCAAAGCTAACATCACACATTTGACTTGCGAGTGATTTTTAGATCGTGCATAGCTGCAGCTAACGTCACATCATACGTTTCTAATTAAACACTGCTCTGAGATATAAAAGTACCAGAGTCAGGGCCCTGGGCCGTCCATTATACAACAACTTAACGGAGAGAGGCAAGGCGCCAAGGCAGGCATGTATAGAATTTTGTTGTTTACGTTGTTTTTGCTCTGTTTCTTCTCCCTCTTCTTCTCCAAACAAATAAGGTCAAAGACCTGAACCAGGCGTCTGTAACCGTGGTACGTAGTGTTGGGTTATATCATGTTGCAATTTTATAGCAGGAGGAATTTACGACTCCTGTCACAGTATATATGAATGTACGTCGGTGAAGGTTAGACATCCAGGCAATACGATACGCCAAAAAGCAGTAACTCAAGCAACTGGATATGATTTTCCAAAATCATATCCAGTTGCTTGAGTAACTGCTTTTTGGCGTATATATGAATGTGTTTTAGTAAGAAGAGAAGATGGTATTATGCATTTACTTTGCAAATGTTACCTTTCTAGTGTTGACTCTTATTTCATTTGGCCAGGAAAAGAATTATAAGCTGCGTTTGTTTGAATACGGTAGTGCGTCAATTGAGCTTTTCTCGGCCGTCATTCAAAATATCCAATCATACCGAGCTCTTGTACCTCTTGAAGCTGGATGACAGCTGGTTTTATTGAATGCTACCGTACCTTCAGCTGCCTGCCGTCATAGCAACAGAATAGAAATCACTCATAAACGCCCAATAGGTTTACATACTGTAATAGAGCGATGCATTTCTGAAGCACGCAAGGTAGACAAGACTACATCGTTTTTTTTACGTGTATTGTAATCTCGGTTGTTTACGTGCATTCTAATCAAGAGTCAAGGACATTCGTAATCCTCGACAACCAGGGACAAACAAGAGAAGGTTAGTTGAAGAAATGGATGACAACAAGTCCCGTGTACGCGGCGACACCTTCCCAGAATCGGAGCTTCGGAAGATACAGCGGCAAAGGAAGATATCCACTGATGTCAGCGCGTCGAGGCGGAGGATAGCGTCGGTGGAAAGCTGCCCCGCGTCCCGACAAAATACGCTCCGACCCTCCGGTGGTGACGGGAAAGACCAAAAGCTGCCTCCTATAGGCGTAAGCAACAGGTTGGTGACGAGAAACCAACACGGTGAAGCAACGACGTGCAGTTTTGGACCTAAGACGCCGTCGCAACCTCAAGCACGCAGGCAAAGGAAAGACACACCTGCCTTCTTAACACCTCATCTACAACAAGGGTGCCTAAAAGTAAAAGACATTTGGCTGCAGAAAATGAAGAAGCAAAATAAGTCTTCGCCCAGCAGTTGTTCTGTTGTAGGTCAACATGTTTCACCTGACTCCCCGGTCTCTACTGCTGCAAAAGATCGTATGGGCCACTATCCCCCACTGAGAATGCTGGAAAGCGTGGAGAAAGAGGTGAGTGAAAATTGTTTCAAGTGCATCTCTGTCTGTGAAAACATAATGTACAACGTAGATAGTCCTTTTTATCCTTTTATTGTTAAATATGAATGGAACTTTTAGCGGGGATGTTGCAGTTGTTTTATTTTTAGTTGCAGTTGCTTTTTTTAGTTCCAACTAACGTAGATCTAGTTAAACGCAACAAATGGCTAAACTACCTGAAATGCTCTAAGACGAGTCGTGTTTGTTTATATTGCCTTGCTCTTTTACCAAAGGCTTTGCCGCTCCTCCTACCTCCTGTAAGAAGAAATGCAGTGACTGCCGTTCCAGAGCATCAAGAAGACTGGTGTAAACAAGAGGACGAGGTAAAGCTCCTACAGTACAGAGCAGAACAATAGAACATAACATAAAATAACAAAAGAACAGAACAATAGAACAGAAAAAAGAACAGAACAACAGAACAGAACACATCAGCTAGTTTCTCATACTCGCTTTGCGATTTTAGAGGTTAGAGAAGTTAGAGGAAGAATTTTTCATACTCGTAATGTGATCCGAGTTAGACGAAGCCTTTTTTTCGTTTTTGCAATTTTTTAATATTTATGCCATTGTTCTAATGTCTCTTATGCTGTCATGTCAAATTATGATCTTTAGTTGTGACACCAAAAAGCAAACCTTACAGCAGGGATGAGACTCCCTGAATTGCAAAGAGTTTGCGTACACAAATTTACAAATTACAACGGACAAGGCAGACGATATATACAAGCCTCATAGACATTATTATACATTATTTTGTACTAAGTAAACCTTCTGACTGTATACAGATGAGGTTATCTAATGTATTATGCAGATGAAGTTATCTAATGTATCTAATGTCTTACATACAGGAGACTGATACTGCAAAGCCTTATGTCGACATGTGGACTAAGATGGCGCCGCTGCGGCCTGACAGGACCAGTCTGACGTCACTGCCTGCCGTGGCAGGTTCCAACACCAACGGGAAGGAACCACGTCAGACGTTCTACACAAACCAGACCGACTGGGGACCAGCGGTAGACAGGAAGTCATCAAGACACCAAACTCGAGTGGAGCAAACAGCGACAGCTTTTGGCTCATTTGTGGAGAAGAGCACAAAAGATTGCGGAGGCCAGGATACAGAGTGTCATCATCTAACACCACCTGTAGATTCTCTGAAAGACGGGGCAAACATCGCAGCTTGTTTCAACCAGATAGCGAGTTATCGTTCCCCCCAAAAGCCAGTTGTGGATTCTCTTCAAAACATCGGCTTGCTTTCAAGGCAAAACATACCGGGGAAACCAGGCAATGTCGAAGATCAGTGGCAGCGTTGCTCGTTGCAGGTACAAACTGATGTGAACACAGCAGTATCATTAAAGCCCTCGTCAACACACACGCAAATTGAGGAAAGTGGTCAAATAAAATCGCAGCCGAATCTGGTAACGACGACCAACTTGATGTCTCGCAATCACGCACATCAGAACAAAGGCATATCAAAGGGAAGGCTCGAAACTGTTCCTGTTGCACTCTGTCTAGATGGTGAAGCTTTTGAACCTGAAAATACAGTGAAACACCCAAGAGAAAGACGCCGAAGAAACGCACTGATTACTGGCTTTAAACCTGCAACAGCAATGCCTCAAAGCAAGGCGTATGATATAGGACTCAAGTCAAAACAGTCTGAGCCAAAAAAGAAAAAACTATCTGTAAAGTACGTCGATGAAGATTAGACATCTAGGTAATAAGATACGCCAAAAAGCAGTTACTCAAGCAAGTGGATATGATTTTGATTTTTTTTTCTCCTCTGGTCTCTCAGTCACTGACGAAAGCTAGTGGATGCTAGCTGAAACGTCTGACCGTTTCCAAAATCATATCCAGTTGCTTGAGTAACTGTTTTCGGCGTATCTGTAAAGTATATACAGCAGCCAAATGTTTTACAATGTATTTATTGGTTGCAAGTACTTTACAACAGCTGCATTTTTAACCATTGCAATATAGCATAGATTTTTGTGTGCCCAATCTAACATTTGATAAGTCTACGCATTGTATTTCAAACACATACTTAAAACTCATATGGAAGTACATGTACTTACCAATATAATAACACAAAGCTTTCCATGATTTTCTACATTTCACATGTCAGTTAAATGTTAATACTAGAATAGGAAATGACTATAATTAGTCACTTTCAGTATGTTTATTGATCGATGCAGGCATTAAAAGTTGATCGATTAGAAGTTTACAGTAATAACTTAGGATCAATACATCACAGCAGCCTCAGCGTCTTGTGGTGATGTTTCAGTGTCAGAAAATGTAGGCACAGGTGACAGCTGTGTGATGATTTATCACACAGTTCATTCTTTCCTAGAACTATCGCAGAGTGGAACTCACTGTCACCAAGTACAGTAGGGGCACTGTCAATAGATAGCTTTAAACAATGTCTAGAGCTAGAAGTTCAAGGGTTAGGTGTAACAAGTCGATCGGTGTAATAAAGCCAGCTGCCGCCGCGCCGCGTGCCTGCGAAGCTGGTGTGTTACGCTGAAAGGCGGTTATACCGGCTATACAGATACAGATACCTGATTATCTGATGTCGAAGGAGGAAATTCCGTGACTTGAAATTACCCAGCCGGTTTTTTGTGGATGTTTAGGGGATCCTTCTTAAGTTTTCGAAACGTTGTAGTGAATCCTTAATGTTTGTTCAGCTCACAAGTGACATAAACACAGAAAATTATGTTCCATCATCAAAGAGATATAGATTGGTACTGTAACAGTTTTCTTTTTTTTTACTTTCAAATTTCTCTTTTAGCTTCTTAGCTTCTTTCTTTATCTTTTATCATTTATCCGTGATCAACATCATGTTTTTAAAATGTCAATAAAAAGCGGGCTGCAAAGTTGAGCTTCTTATTAATCAAGAAAGTTCAAACAAACAAAACTATCATTTTGACTACAGCTAAGATTATTTCTCGTGCTCTATCTCTAGTTTACTGATGTTACGTGGTGAGATGTTGATGACTCTGGTTCTCATGTAACCATTGGTGGGCGACCCGGGAATTCTGTAACAATCCCAAAGTCGCGATTTCACATTGTAACATTGAGTCGCGTTCGAACTCACCATAAAAACCGTATCACCAAGAGACACGCAATCGTCAAGATACTGTTCCGAATACGATTTAAACAAGGTCGACCATTGGCCGGTGGTTACATTGTAGCATGAGAAATCCCCGGGCCTTCCACCAATCAGGTACAGCGTATCATGCACGGATGACATGCTAAAGACAAAACGGCTCTTTCTAACCGTGCTAACTCTTCTCCACTGCCCAGTACACTGTAACAGTGTGTACAATTTCTCTCCGTTATCAAATGATAAAGTAATGTATATCTTCCCCATACAAACAGCTACACAAGGCTTAATCATATCAGTAGGAAGAGGCTCGAGTCTTTTCCACGAGCCTTTGCGTAAATCGTAAGCTTCCACTGAAGCTAAGGCTTTAGTGTTTGACCCACACGATCTGCACAGTTGGTTGCCGCCTATGGCGTAAAGAGTATTTCCTAGACCGATAAATGCGAAGTTAGCTCTTGAGTCAGTCATTGCTGCAAACGGTGTCCACTTGTGTGTTAATACGTCGAAACAAATGGAAGATTTCTGCATCTGGTCGCTTTTGAAGGAGGTAAAACCGCCCGTGAGAAACAGGTAGTTGTGCAGGGAGGCTACACCGCATGCGTTGGTTGAAAAAGACGACGGGACATCGCAATATGGCGTCCAATCGCCAGTTTGCACGTCCAAGAGGTGCATTGTTCGTGGGGCGTCTTGCGTCAGATGTACATCTTTGTCGTATGACCCGATTGTGCATATGGTGTCTTTGCCGCCGAATCGGAGGGACCGAACAGCTTCCTGTTGTTCTTCTGTCAGTCTTTCAAAGGTGTTAGACCGTAGCAACTCAAGATAATTGATACTGAGATGTCTTAAAGTAGCTTTCTCGAGATCGGGAAGAAAGTGCAGGTCGGCAACTTCAAACATTTCAGCTGCATTTTCAACCGTTACGCTCATCTTTGCATGACTGATGACGTCATCCATCTGTAAGAATATCGCCGTCGTCAGGATTTCTTGAGTACCTGATTGTTCAAACGTCAGCTGACCGGTCTGAAAGAAGTTGAGCAGTTTTCTGATGACGTCGACGGTGACGTCATGGAGCACGACGGACTTCTGTGTAGATTCACGCATGCCAGAAGAGAACATGGCGCGGAAATATTGACTGTGGTTTACCAATGTCTGTTTGTCAACCAGTATCTGTTCATCTTCAATAATAAGTGAGACGGTCTCTTCTTCCATGGCTGGTTTCAGCAACGGGTATGGCCTGAAAGAAAATGTTAATGTCATAAATCAAAGTGAAACAGAAAAGATTAGAAAATAAAAAAATACAGAGAAATCAAAATTTTATTAAAGAAGAAGAAAGTTTGGTTGGCAAATGAAAGTGGGAGTTGATACACAGTGTGAGTAGATCAAACATAAAACTTAGGTCTTACGCAGCTAATGACTAGACATGGTGATCGCACACTCAAGTTATTTCAAGTTGACTTATTTTATACCGCCACCAACGCAGAGGACGTATACAGGACGGGACTATACTCATTTTCACTTGAGTTAAGTGAGGAAAGTCGTGTAAAGTGCCTTTCCCAAGGGCACAAGATCGGTGGCATGTAGGCCTCGAACCCGGGACCTCTTGGTTCCGAGTCAAGCACTCTGCAACTACGCCGCAAGACCCCACTTGCGTACTTGACGCATGGATGTGTGTTATGCCCCGAAGGTCGGTTATGTGACACAAATAGTTTAAAAATCAATGTAAACACACACACACAGAGAACACAAAAGACACATACGAACAAACACCACATATATATACATACACCCAAACCATACATATATAAGTAAGGTATATTCTAAATATTCATATTTTAATGTATAATGTTTTATTGTGTTTTAGACATAAAATTCAGAAATTACAATTCCCACAGTATGTAGTGTAATTTTGTTACGAATGATATACGTTGTTTCTCTTTCCAATCGTTAGAAAGAAAATTAATTGTTCAAACTAACAACAGCAATCAGTAACTGTAAATCAGACCATTAACTATGAACGCATCCCTGCAGGTATTGTCTTATATAACCGGGGCTTCCCAGTAGTTTGTTGGCTCATTAACCCCATGTGATGTCGTGAATTAATTGCCCAAGACGTTAATTTTTCTGCTTTCTGTATACTGTTAATTTGGTCGTTTATCATTGCACCTTTGACAGGGGCTTGCATTAAGACTATATGGCATAGTCTAAAGATATTAGTTTTCTCTGATGCTAGTCTCTAAATTTTGTTTGCAAAAATGTTTCTTGTTGTTTTAAAAAGGAATCAGTATTATTTTGAAAATGCCCAAGATATTCATTTTCCCGCTTTCTGTATACTGTTAATTTAGTCTTTTATCATCGTACATTTGACAGGGACTGTTTGGTAAGTTGGCATGCAGCTAAGAAATGAAAGTGAATTGATAATATACGAAAGCAAGATGCAAATATTAATGAATTGTAACTATCTTGAGTATAAAGAAAGCGACTAGGCTTAGTATTACGCTAACAGAGGAACAAACGTATGTATCTGCTGTGCAATGAATACGTAGTACCAGTTACAGTTGTAGTAGAAATGGCAGCCGTAGAAACAAGCATCCACCACTTTAGAAATGACATCAACTGGTACATAACTCCAATTCTATAAGGCTAACCTACCTAATACAGGAGTGTGGCGCTAGTATGGGATGAGATTTTGATTTTGGAATTATTAAAGGAATTTCTAAGGTCTAGGCATTCTATATCCAATAAACGGGTTCTCACATTCAATTATGTACTTTTTTATTAACTTATTTAGTAACATGTTCTCGACTGTCCTGACTAGGAGGTGTTGGCAACCAAGCTTCTAAGTCCTGACCAGTGGGAGCGCTGTTTAAAGTTAAAACTTTCGATCCAACACAACAACATCTCACCTAGAGCTTTCGACCAGACACTCTGATCTTCCTCAGTAGACTGACCCATGCAGTGAAGCTTGTCACGTGGCTTCTTTGAAGTGTGACGTCAACACTGGGTCAAAGGTATATCGTAGACGATGTCGGCCCCCGTCGCGGTTCAATAATGATAATAACCATTATTGTACATTCATGCCCTATCGGGCTAAGTACAGGTGAACAGATGAAAGGGTAATGTACACGTTTGTAGTACAAATAAAACTCTAAAACTACACTAATACAAAGGTTCGCCTTCTTCTCGTTTCTTAGTGAATGAAGGGTGATGGGCCCTGATGTATATGGCTTCAGTGGGAGGGCTGTTAGATGCGTGGCGAAGTCATGCTAGATGGATTCCCTACTGACAATATCGATGGGGAAGATTACAGAAAGTAGCCTTCCTCCCACCTAACCTTTCCTACCGGAGTATTTCTAAGGTTTAGGCATTCTTTTATGTACTACATTCCTATGTATACCATAAAGAGGTTCTCACATGTCATTATGTACTTTGTGCTAATTTGCTATTCAAATCAATTTCAGTAACATGTTTCCAATTCTACTGACATGTTTTCCAACTCCTGACCAGTGAAGGGCGGTTAGAAGCGTAGCGAAGGCATGCTAGATGAATTCCCTGCTGACAATATTGATGGGGAGGATTACAGAAAGCAACCTTCCTCCCTCCTAACCTTTCTTCCCGGAGTACTTCCTATCCGGGATGTAACAAGTCGCGAATAAGGAGATTAAACTGTCTGGGAGTGAGAGAGACCCAATCCCTGCGAAATTCCTCGCCTTGTGAAGTACATACATCAAGGGATCTGAGGGGAAACGACTGGATATTGTAGAGCAAGGGGAGGGCAGAAAGCGGTGAGACTTTTCCAGAACAAACGGGCATAAGATAGCCTCCACCAGGCCTTTCTATGGGAATACGGATCGTAGAATTCGGTAAAAAAGAGTAAAATTGGCGAATTTGAAGGGCCGCGGGGAGGTAGTCTCTTTCCCTCCTGCGCGGCCAGTCAAACCTACAAGGCGGCCAAACTCCCCTGACAAATATTCTACTATATAACTAGCGTAGTTAGTCTGAGACTAGGCATTACATTTTATGTATGCCAACATTTCATGACTAGACATGGTCACGGCACACTCAAGTTATATAACGTATTTTATGCCGCCACCAACACAGAGGAAAAATACAGGGTAGGAAATACTCATTTTCACTTCTTGAGTTAAGTGAGGATAGCCACCTTGCGATTATACATCAACGGATCTGGGGGAAAACGACGAGATTTTGGAGAGCTAGGGGAGATCAGAAAGTGGGAAGCAGTTAGCAGAACAAACTGGCATAATTCCCATTTTGGGCATGGATACTAGTATGTCATGATAGAGACTCTAAACCTGTTGGAATCATTAATTCTACCTGTAAAGATCTTGACATTAGGAATCTCCGTCAACGGATTCTACGGTCAACAGTGAAACTTCAGAGATTCACTGTTTGGTCACTTTAATCTTTCATGAGACATTAGGGAATGCGGGGATTGGGACGATTGAGAACAAAATCCTATATAAATGGAGTACACTTTCTTTAGGGCAGATGTCTACATGTTGGGAGCAAACAACAGGTACGCTGATGTACATGTTTATTTGGATTTTTTTATTTGGATTTTTCAACGTCAACGGTGTAAAACAAACACACACACAAAACTCCACAAAATTTACATAGTCAAGGACAACAAGTATAAAAATACGCGTAGGCAATAAATATGTGTGCCTGGGAACTTTAAAAATGTGCCTGGGAACTTTGAAAATACGCCTGTCATCCCCTAAATTTACTCGTTATACGCTACTTTCCCACTGCTACCACTGTACATCCTAGCCTTGTCTACTTTGGGGAATCGACTAACATTATCTTTGATAGAGAAATATATTAAAGTCTTTGATGTGTTTAAGCTGCGTGAAATATTGAACATGATATTGGCGAGCACTAATATCCCAAAGTGCCTGACTCTCTAAATTGGCCCGCGCGATCTCCTCTTCTGCACGACTGAGGCAGAATATTACTGATACACTCCATGGATTTTCATCTCATAACGCTGTTGGATCGGGTCCAGCTAAATGTTGGAGGCACCCGATGCAATTTGAAAATGCAAAATGACAAGAAACCTACAGTGGATGTCACTGGGAGACGAAAAATGTCCAGACTATGCATGATGTACAAAATGAGTAATAAACTGGTGGACGTAGCAGCTACTAAATACATACATGTAATGCCAGTCCAGAAGAGAACAAGAAATAACCATGCATTCAAGTATACCAGAGTTATCAACCAAGGATTGAGGTGTTCAAGAAATCATAATTACCTAGAATTCGCTGTCACCAAGCTAGCTATATTACACCGAACGGCATCCACATCATTCGAAAGTCCCGATGTCGTTTCAAGTTTAGACCAGCCATGCCATTTCCTCAGCTCAAAGATAACAATACGAAGTAAATATGAAGAACCAAATTATTCCGAAAATTTACTTAGAAATTTAGTAAATTTTAATATCTTGCCTCATCCAGAATATTTATTGTTTAGTCTTGCTGCTGTGAAATTGCATTGAATGTGTTTAAAACCAGCCCCGACATCATTTGGAAGTCCTCATGTCGTGTCAAGTTCTGAGTAGCCATCCCATTTCCCTCAGCTCAAAGATAACAATACGAAGTAAATGTGCTTGGGAATTTAGTAAATCTCAATATCTTGCTGATTTCCTCATCCAGAATAATCGGTCTTCAGTCGTGCACGGGAGGCGTTTAAATTCAGCATCCACATAATTTGAAATTGCCGATGCCGTGTCAAGTTCTGAGCAGCCATCCCATTCCCTCAGCTCAAAGATAACAATACGAAGTAAATATGAAGTACCAAATTATGCCGAAAATGTGCTTGGAAATTTAGTAAATCTCAATATCTTGCTGATTTTCTCATCCGGTATAATAAATGTTCTTTGGTCTTTCCATCCTGAAATTGCATTGGATGCGCCAGCTCAAGCATTATTCTCAACATCTTACTAAATTCCTCATCCAGAATATTTACTCTTGAAATTTAGCTTTGCAGCTCTGAAAATGCATTGGATGCTTTTTGAACTAGCATCCACATCATTTGAAAGTCCCGATGCCGTGTCAAGTTCTGAGTAGCCATTCCATTTCCCCAGCTCAAAGATAACAATACGAAGTAAATGTGCTTGGAAATTTAGTAAATCTCAATATCTTGCTGATTTCCTCATCCAGAATAATTGGTCTTCAGTCGTGCACGGGAGG